AGCACCAGTGGCAGCATCGGCAGCAACGTTACCAGCAGGCGCCATTCCGCTGGCGGTAACGGGCGTCCGTGAGTTGCTGCTGGGCGGCACCTGCAGACACAGCCGCTGTCCGCCGCCCAGCACCAGGGAGGTGGATCGTTGCATGCGAGGCGGTGAGCCCATGCGGCCCGCGGAATACTGCTGCTGCGGCTGTTGCTGCTGGGAATACATGGTGTTTGAAGCAACTGGGAGCTGGCGGGGCGGCATAGATCGCGATGGCATCAGAGCATGCTGCTGCTGTTGCTGCTGCTGGTGCTGCTGCTGTGGAGGCATGGGCCCGGGGCAGTCTTCGTCCGCTTCCACGATGCTCTGCCCGGGCTGGAATGTGGACGTGAGGCGAGGGCCCAGTGCCCCGCTCAGCTGCAGCTGAAGCCGGCCGCTGCTACTGCTGCTACTGTGGCACGGCATGGACTGCGACTTCTGCAGCCGAGGGTCCGCCCCAAACTGCTGCGACGAATGCTGCTGCTGCTGCTGGTGACGATCAGCGTCGCCAGACACGAGCATGTTACTGCTGGAGGCGACTTCAGCGCCGGGCGTGGAGGCGGACGTTGACTGGGCGAGGCCGAACGGGGCAATCACAGTGGAGGACGACGGGGCTGGCGTGGCGTCGGGACCAGCGGTTGCGCTGGCAGAGGCGGCGGTAGAGGCGGCGGCAGGCGGAGGAAGAGGAGCAGCAGCCGAGGGGGTGCATGCAGGGTCATGGGGCTGTTGGCTGGCAGGGAAGGGCGATCCGGCGTTGTCTGGGGATAGCTGGATGGCGAGCTGCTTGGAGCAACCGACAGCCCTGCGAGGACACGAGAGAGGAGAGTCGTGAGGCACAGCGGTTGCAAGAAGAGGAGCATGTGCGGCATTAGAAAATACTCCCAGCAGACCAGGCTGACCAGGCCCGCCCCCAAAACCAACCATGAGGTTTGCTCAGTACATCTAGGAAGCGCGAGGGACGTAATAGGGCACAGAGCCACGGGGGGTGACACTTACGAGGACTTGGAGGCGGGAGTGCGCCTCTGGTCCGCCCCGACAGGCTGGGCGGGCGGGGGCAGCGCGAGGGGAGGCGGAGGGGACCCGCGGGTAACAGTCGAGCCCACATCGTCCGTGTTCAACCGCAGCTTCGACACCGAGCCTATCTCCAGCTTCGTCACCGAGCCGATCTCGAACTTTGGCACGAGCCCCTTGTGGCAAGGCGTGTTGGTGCACGTGTCAGTCATGGCGGAGCACGTGCCCTCCACGCACCCCATGGGCCCCTCGGACGACGCCGCCTGGATGGACAGCGACGAGCCGGCCGTCGCCCTGTCGTTGAGCTTTCGCGATCGGTTTCGCCCGCGATGCATGTGTCGCTCGCAGTACTTCTGGTCCTTCACCGCCTGCAAAGACCGCGATGGACAGAGGAAACGATAAGGACAGAGGAAACGATAAGGACACGGTCGACGCAATCAGCCTTGGATAGGAGGGGCGAAAGATGGCGAGGAAAGCGAAAGGCACATGCGAGAAATGAGACACAGAGAAATGGATCCCGCGCGACTGATTGTGAAGGGCGAATCAGTTCCTCTCACCCCTGGGTTCCGGCGTACCTCTCGCGAGCATCGCCACTTCTTGCCGTCCGTGCGGCGGCACCTGAGGGGCTCCGCGTCCTTGAGCGGCGTGGCCCACGACGCTGCACAGAGCAACAATACGCGTTTCCATCAATACTCGTTACGAGCTTCCAACCCACAGCCCCACTGGCGGGGCAAAGCTCGGGAGTTTTAACACCGTACCAGGGCCGTCGGGTGATTGATCGGGCGAATCCGAGGTGGAGTAAAGCGAGTCGATGAGTTCAGGCGGGACGGCAGCGCCGGAGACGAGGTACTTGAAGATGAGGGCTTGCTGCTCCAGCTGCTGCCATTGGCTGATGGTGAACGGCGCCGCGTTCTCATCTGTTACAGAGGAAGGCAAGCCGACATGATAACTCATGTCAGTGATATTTCTTAGCACGAAACATACGAAGAATGAAGCTAAACAATCCGCTGTTACGCTGACGAAGATCGTACATTACCACGATGTATCTGTCCTGGTTTAGCAGCTGAATTTACCTGCGACCAGGCCTGGGTCGACCAGGCTGGACTGGCTGTCCGGGCTGATGGTCTGCTGCCGCGGGGAATCCGCCGCGACTGACGGCGTCCCCACGGAGAAGCTCGGCGTGCCGGCACCGGGCTTGGACGGCGGAGGCGTGTCGCCGTTAGTCTCAGCGGCCTGCGCGGCGACCGCGGGGTCTCTGGGAGGCGACATCGCAGAGGCGTCGTTGGCCACATGCGACGTCGGCCGAGGGGAATCGCAACCAGCAGCGTCGTCCGCATCCTTAGCGGGATTCGCGTCACTAGCTTCCGCATCGTCCTTCACAGTATCCCCCTCCTTGTGACTCGCAGCGACATCGCCAGTGCTGCCATCCTTGTTCGCATCCTCCATCTTCGTCGCGTTGCTGCCATCAGTCGCATCGTTACTGCCGTCAGTCGCATCCGTGCCGTTCGTTGCATCATTGCCGTCGGCCGCGTGGTTGGCATCTTCCATCTTCACATCCTCGCTCGCTCCAGCAGCTGGTGCTGGCTTAGACTCAACCTTCTCTTCCCCTCGTCCGGTTTCCACACGGTCAATTGACCCAGACTCGACCTTCACTTCCGCTTCTGCTGCAGCTTCAACTGCCGCTTCAACTGCCGCTTCTCCTCCAGTTTCAGTTGCCGCTGACGGTTCGATCTCATTCGCTTCTTCCTTCGCGTCGAGCATTTCCACGCCGCCGTTCGAGCCAGCGACTTCGCGAATCTCTTGACTCGTCGCGGTTTCTGGTGCAGGATTTTCCGTGGCTACCTCCGCGGATGTCTGATCTTGGTCAATTTGCGGCGGAATCGCATCCACATCCATCTTGTCGTGCTCGGTCACCGTGTGATCCGGCTTTACCGCCTCGCTTGACTCCATCCGCGTGTCTCGACTATCTTCAGTTTGTCTGACATCTTCGACTAGTCTGATGGCCGTCGCCTCTTGACCATTCACTACACCTTCTGCAACAGCGGAAATTGACTCAACTGCTAACGAATTATCCTGGCGAAGAGTCGCGTCATGTACTTCCTGCGGCTCGATCGCATGATCCGAGGGAGCTCGTGACACGTCAGGACACATGGCTTCTGTGAGCAACACGGGGTCGGGTGTTGCGTCACTCGTCGACGATGTCAGACGAGAGTAATGGTCGACACCGTTCGCCGTCTGAGTTTCAGATTCATTCATTTCCGTACACGTTAAGATGGATTGTGTAGGCTCTGCCATGGATGTATGATCCACTACAGAAAGTCGGAAGAACGGCTTCTCCCTAAGGAAGAGAATTGAAGTCTGTCGCGGTTATCTGTAAGCAAATTCTGAAGTCGTGCCTGAAGATACTATGCCTGGTTGCGGTAAATCCGGCGAGTAGCCGGATTGTGAGCCCAAAAATGCGGTTTTTAGGTGAAAGGGCCTAAAATGTGAACCACAAACGACCTCTGCTAATTCAGCAGCAGCCGTTGAGCACCAGACGACATGGGAGGCAAAAGCCAAAATCTCATCTCCCGGGCAAAAGCCACCTAGATATCAAGGTGTGCTGTATTGCCAGAGCGCAGCTGCAGCCATAGCCGGAACAGAATTGGCAGGCTGACTGCAATGGGTCCTGATATCCTCCCGATAATCTCATTCTCATCGAGCCCGTCCATCATGCCCAGCCTGGTTAGATCTGACGGTCATGCCTGCTTGAACACTGATCATTGCAGGGTACAGTACAGTACATGAGGGCCCCGATGACATCATTCTGCGTCTGAACTCCCCAAGCCTGCACTGTCCCCAAACCATCATGGCAGGGAGCCAAACTGCGCAGACCTGACATACCCCACTGATCATTGTCATGGAAATTGTCAGATTGGACCGCAGCGCCTGAGTGCCGAAAACGTTGCGGTTAGGTTTGGAGCGAGAAATGTCCCGCCCAGCCCAGGCGCCGGGATTCGCGGATGGTGAAGGTACAGTGCCAGCGCAGATGCGAACGGTCACCTTCGGTTAGGTTGAAGTGATATTGCTAGCTTGAAATGCGTTTTGTGGCTGCTTGAGGATGTGCCTGCTGCCAAGCTACAATGTTAGCCAATCGTGAGTGGGCTTCGTCTGTTCGTCGAGCAAACAGACAGCATTTGAACCGTGGCGGGCTGGACGGAAACATTTCATTCCCCACAAAAACGGTTGACCCCACTTGACACGGGCGCTTTATCCATTCAGGACCACAAACAGAATGTGTAAGGTAGATGCCCACTATTGGCTGCTCAGTCACTTGCTCAGACGCTCCCAGCATCCCTCGGCATGACCTTCTTAAAGGATTCTCCAATTCTTCGTATTGCAGTTCATATACCTGAGACCAGGTAACTACGTACGTAGCCATACGAAGGCTTAGAAAAGACAGCTGCTCATTTAGGCCCTTCGGCACCTGTCGCCTCGCCCCTGATTTCGTAAGAGAAATGCATCGAAATTTGATATCGGGTTCGCCATTGACAGTTTTACATAATCTGTCTGATGGTTGTGCAACCAATCCCTCCACCTCTAAATGCTCTTTCGGTATTATTAGGGACATTGAGAAGCATAGTGTTGAGACTTTCCACTCAGTGTTCTATAACGAGCAGTATCATACTCGTTGGCGTTGCTGTGATCTGACAAACGTGGCAATGGGTGGTATCCACGTCATTTCCAGCCTCTCACAGAACGTGCCTTGCCCCGCTGGATGCCAGCACATACACAGCGCATGGGCGCTGGCCACCCTCCCAGCATCTGCTGCATCCATCCCCCACGCGGAATTCACGCCACGCCGCCATCGCATCGAATGTTCCTCCCCTTGTGGCTCATCGCATGGATGTGCGTGCACTGTGCACCAGAGAGGCGGGCAGCTATGGGTGAGGAGGGAGGGGGGGATCTATCGCCCTTATGAAGCCTTGAAAAGCGAGCGAGCAACGCGCATAAAAGGTGCGCTGCACATTAGCAGAGACTATTCTACATACTGTTGATCTCCCCTCGCACAACAGAGCCTCTGCTAAGTTTGCTTGCTGCTCCTGAGTGTTACTCCTTTGGTCATCGTCCCTTCATACGTCGCGCGCACACGATGTCGTTCATCGCCGCCTTGCGAGTACGTGTCCTGTCGCAGCCTTCTTTTTCTCCCTGCTGGCGTCCCCCTGGTTCGCGTGTAATGGTGAAGTTAAATGCCTTTCTTCGTGTGTCTCCGGGGATACATGCTTGTTGCTACCCCCTAGAAGCTCCCCCCTAGAAGCTCCTCCCAGAAAGCTCCCCAAGAAGGCCCCCCCTCCACCCCACCCCACCCTTAGAAGCGCACCCCCCGCCCTCTCCCCCCTCCCCACACCCCTTCTAGAAGCCCCCCCCCCCTAGAAGCTCCCTTCCGTGCTCCATCTCACAGGCGCTCTTTTCTTCATTCCCCCCCTTTGCCGCCAACTGTCAGCACGCAGCGACGCCCGTCGCCATTGTTGCTGGAGCTGCCATATCGAGCTATCTGGTCGCTGACATCCTGGCAGGCGACTCCGAGGCTCGGTGAGTGTTCAGGCAGGCGGCGCGGCGAGCTCAGCACTCTTACCGAGCACGGGTCACGCACGCATCTTGCACGCGTCTTGCATCTGTATTGCACACGTCATGCGTGCACCACACATGCTCAACACGCGCACTGTTTCGGTACGCGTCAAAATCTCATCATCGTTCCCGCTCGTCGCTTACGACAAGTTTGGATCTTTGTCGTTTCCTTCCCATCGTACCGACCCCCCCGCGACGCCCTCAGGTCGAAACCGCGCGGCGTGGCGTCGTCGGTGAGCGGCTGGTCGGCGGTGGAGTACCGTCGCATGCCGATCGCAGAGTACCTCAAGGTGCGTCGCAGGAAGCAAGCATAGAGGTGGTTGTCACAAATCCGCTGCTTCACATGCCTGATTCAAACTTTGAATGAGTCAGAACAGTTGAAGGCACTGGCGATCATCAGCAGCGAGTGAAGCATTGAAGTCGGTGAACGCGGGGTAACTTTTGAGTCGACTCAAAAGTCATCAGCAGCGAGTGAAGCATTGAAGTCGGTGAACGCGGGGTAAAAGCTGCTGTGCGACCCCCCATGCCTCCTCTCCATGCCTCCTCCCCATACCTCCTCCCCATGCCTCCTCCCCATGCCTCCTCCCCATGCCTCCTCCCCATGCCTCCTCCCCATGCCTCCTCCCCATGCCTCCTCCCCATGCCTCCTCCCCATGCCTCCTCCCCATGCCTCCTCCCCATGCCTCCTCCCCATGCCTCCTCCCCATGCCTCCTCCCCATGCCTCCTCCCCATGCCTCCTCCCCCTGCAGATTCTGAGCGGGTCGGAGGAGGTAGACGGCATGGCGGATGACCGATCGGTGCGCGCCATGCTCAGACGGCTAGCCGACGCGCCCTCGTGCACGTCCGTGTGACCGCCGAGCGCCGGCCTTCCACTCCGCACCCGGCGTCATATATGTGATTCACGTCGGTGGCCTTCCACTCCACGAAGGAGCGCGCCGTAGATGAGGGCGATGGGGCATAGGCGTCGTCGCCATAGATGAGGCGAGGGCGATGCTTCTCCCTTGGTCCCAAGAAGGAACGGAGTATGTGTACCAGGAACGCGTTTGTACAGGCCTCGCTTATGGGGACGGCGGGGGAGCTCCCCGCGTTTGCGTCTTGGATCTCGAAGTCTGGTCGCTGTAGATACATGCCCTCGCGCTATCTGAGGAGGACAATGCTGGCGGTAAGGGATTCAAGGCGTGCAGGCAGTCTGGTACTAGGTGGGCGTAGGAACTCGCGCTTTGATTATGCTCATCAGTAACGACGCTGAGGGTGCAGTTCGAAATCCTTGTGGGGAGTACGGTACGGTATCCATGGTTGATCTTCTTGGGTAAAGAAGCAAGAGTCAAATTTGGATACTGGTACCAGAGAAATTAGGAAGTGTGAGTGAGACAAGGTGATTGACACATGTGGTGGGGTGTGGTGGTGCTGGTCATGTTGACAACTGCTGGACACAATAATGTTATAATTCGTTTTGTTACTGCTAGGACTACACGAGGAAGGAAACACCTGTCAACATTTAGAAGTATATGTTATAAGCTAGATAGTTGCAGGCTCATAGAGAGTAAAACACCTTAGGTTATATCCTCTTGTATTCCCACATTCTACTCAATTCATTACTCTGAAACCACCCTCTTGTTTTGGAGGTCCAAGAGCATGGCAAGCACAACTTGTTAACGTAGAAACGAATAATTACTAGAGGTGGAAACCTAGAACAAATACTAGTTGGTTGTACTCACTAGAAGCATACCTCAGTCTAGCCTATAACTTCTACATAGATAATATGTATAAGTTGACACACCCCCTAGGCTAGACAAGGGGTGAAACTAAACAAGAAGCAAACAGCTCAGGGCGGCACTACTAGTCCAACCACTGAGGCAGGGGTCTGGAGACCAGTCAGCAAGAATACAACCAAAACTGAAGCAAGCCAGGGTGGCACTACTAGTCCAGCCACTGGAGGTAAGGCCACAAGGCCAGTCTGACAAGCATATATAATAGAGAGTACACAATCAGGATCCTAACAGGGGAGCAGCTACAGGAACAAGACCAAGCTGTACACAGTGCCGCTGATGATCTTTAGGCGCAAGCGCCTTAGTAAAGATATCAGCTGTGTTGGCACCTGAGGCCAAGTGAACTACGCGGGCCTGGCGGCGCTGCTGTAGCTCGCGCAGGAGGAAGTACCGCAGCTGGATATGCTTCGCTCTGCCCTCAAGCCGAGGCTCCTGACACAGGAGTATCATGGCCCTGTTGTCAGCGTACAGGACCGGGGCAGAGCTAGGCCGCTCACCTAAGTCTGTGAGCAAGAAGGTCAGCCAGCGGAGCTCCTGTGCCGCCATGGCACCAGCGTAGATCTCAGCCTCACAGCTAGACTGAGCCACAGACGACGAGCGAGTGGATCTCCAAGAGATAGCACCCGAACCAAGGCTGAAACAGTAGCCCTGCGACGACCTGAGCGTCTCAGCGTCGTCTGCCCAAGAAGCGTCTGTGTGCCCAGTAAGGACCACTGGCCTGCGTCCTCCTAGCACTAACCCCATGCCTGATGTACTAGCAAGATAACGCAAAACCCTCTTAGCGGCAGACCAGTGCTGAGGTCGGTGTCTGCCTGTAGCCACAAAGCGAGCCAGGATGCTGAGAGGGTATGCGAGATCTGGGCGAGTGCAAGTCATCAGGTACATGAGGCAACCCACCAGCTCTGCGTAGGGGCCACTGGGCTCTACTGGCTCCTCAGGAACGGGAGCAGAGAGCCCATGGTCTACGGGTAGAGGTGTGGGCTGTGCAGAGGAGAACTGAAGACCGAACCTCTGAAGGACCTGACGCACCAAGTGTGACTGGGTCAGAGTGATGGTGCGTGCTGCTCTGTCCCTAGAGATCTGCAGGCCAAGATAGCGACGCAGCTCTCCAAGGTCAGTGCAGGTGTGTCTCTTCAGCAGCTCAGCCTTCACAGAGGCCAGTGCGTCCCTGTCAGGAGTAGCGAAGACCAGGTCGTCTACGTAGACAAGGATGTAGAACGGAGTCTGGCCGGAACGCACAAACAGTGAAGGGTCAGCAGAGGACGGAAAGAACTGCAGGTCTGCTAACGTGGCACGTAGCGTGTCGTGCCACTCGCGGGGAGCCTGACGCAGGCCGTAGACCGGGCGCCTGAGAAGCCACTGGGTCCCAGGAGGGAAGGTACCAGTGAAGCCCTGTGGTCGGCGCAGGTAGACCTGCTCGTGTAGGCTGCCCTGAAGAAAGGCAGTAGAGAAGTCGAGGGAGTGAAGCTCGTAGTCACGCTGTGCTGCTACGTGTAGCAGCGCCCGAAGAGTGGTCATCTTCGGGGTCGGGGCGAAGGTCTGGAAGAAGTCAACCCCCTCGCGCTGACTGAAACCTCTGGCCACGTAGCGCGCCTTGAAGACAGGCGGCTCTCCAGGGGGGCGCTTCACCTTGAAGAGCCACCGACCATCGACTACGTTCACCCCAGGCGGGGGAACTGCGTCGACGTAAGTGCCGGTGGATCTCCAAGATGCCATCTCGTGCTCCATGGCAGCTATCCACTGAGAGGCCCAAGGTCCCGAGGTGGCCTCAGCGTAGGTGCGAGGGGTCGGGATGTCGAAGGCGTCTGGGTCACCCTCAGGGACTAGGAGCATGGAGCAGAGATGGGGAGCAGCCTCGGAAAGGAAAGCCAGCTCGTACTGCCTGTCCTCTAGGACGTCACTGCCAAGGGCAGGAGCACCCCCGACGGACAGAGGACGGGCAGGGTCAGAGACCAGAGCGGTAGCGTAGTCAAGGCGGCGGGTAGAGGCGAAGTCAGCGACAGCAGCGACAAGCGCGTCAAGGCGCGAGACAGGAACAGCAGGGTCGGTAACAAGAGAGGCAAGGACCCGAGGGACAAGGGGACGAGCAGCATGGAGGTAGTCAGAGAACGGAGGAGGTGCAACAGCAAGGGACGAGGGAGGAGGGGACGGGAGGAGGGGAGGACGAGACGAGTGGGAACGGAGCAACATAGGGTGGGTGGGCAGGACAGGAGAGACGGGACGAGCACGGGAGGGACGGCGAGCCCAAACGTGAGACGGAGGGGTAGGGTCAGGGGACAGCGGAGGAGACACAGGAGGGGAACGAGGAGGAAGACGGGCCGGAGACGAGTCTGGCGGCGGGAACACAGGACCGTAGACAAGAAGGTCAGGAGGCGGTGGGGGAGACACCGGCGCGCGGTCCGGGGAGGGAAGGCCGAGCAGGCGGAGAGCGGAAACCGGCGGCGACGGCTGCTGCGGCGGCGACGACGGCTGGGCCGGAACTCTCGGACCAGCAGAGGCAGAACGACCGTCGGCAGAACACTCAACAGCAGCACCCCCAGAACCAACACCCCCAGAGCGAGAACCCCCTCCAACACCAGCGGCACCCCCAGAAGCCGCAGGACGAACACCCTCCTCCACACCAGCACCCCCACGGGCCGAGAGCAGCGGCGGCAGTGGCGGCAACGGCTGCGGCGGCGGCGACAGCGGCGACGGCTGCGGCAGCGACAGCGGCGGCGGCGGCGACGACAGCGGCGACGGCTGCGGCGGCGACGGCGACGGCGGCGGCAGCGGGGTCGGCGACTGCGACAGCGGGGGCGGAGGCACCGGGGAAGGGGGACGCTGCAAGGACGGACCGGGGGTACCACCAGAGTCAGCAGACTCCTCAACGGGGACAACCGACGGGAGGGGAGTGACGTGGGAGACACCAGACGGGGCAGGACGAGGCGGGAGAGGGGCAGGGGCTACCGGGGGAGAGGGAGCAAGGAAAAGGGGGGGGGCAACTGGGAGACCTCGGTGAGGGAAGCGGCGGTAGAAGGAGACGGACTCGTCAAAGGTGACGTCACGAGAGTGGAGGAAGCGGTGAGACGGCGGGTGGTAGAAAAGCCAGTCAGACGAGTCCAGGGGGAAACCGAGGAAGACACAGGGGACAGTGCGGGCAGTGAGCTTGTCCGTGCCAGAGGCACGAACGTGAGCAAGGCAGCCCCAGACGTGGAACGCAGACGCGTCACCGGGGGACCCGGTCCAAAGGAGGGTCGGCGAAACCTGCGGCCGCTGGGAGCGTGGCCACAGGTTAAGCTGGTGAGCCGCGTAGCGAACAGCGAACGGCCACAGAAAATGGGGGGCATCGGCATGGATCATGGAGGTACGGGCGACCTCCATGACCAAGCCGATGCGGCGCTCAGCAACCCCATTCTGCTGTGGCGAGTCCGGCAACGTGTACGACTGGGTGATGCCCTCCGCACGACAGAACTGTCCAAGCCGACCAGAGGCGAACTCGCCGCCACGGTCGGAGTGGAGACACAACACGGGGAGACCGCGGTGGAGACGCGCAGCCACAACCCACGGGAGAAGAACGTCGGGCACGTCGGCCTTCCGCTCCAGGGGAAACACCGTGGTGTAGCGCGTGTAGTCGTCGACGAGCACAAGGAAGTAGCGCTCACCGCGCGGTCCGGGGACGGGGGCAGGGCCCCAAACGTCCAAGTGCAGGGTCTGAAGAGGGGCAGTAGCAGGACGCAGCGAGGAGGAGTGAGGAGCACGGCGGAGCCGACCCTCGACGCAAGGCGTGCACGGTGGCGCAGTCGAGGGAGGAAGGGCAGGGAGCGACGCGGGGAGACCTAAGACAAGACCGTGCTGGGACATGTGACGTAGACGCGGGAGAGCAGGGTGACCTAAGCGGTGGTGCCAGAGAAGGGAGGGGTGAGTGAGGGACCGACACGAGCAAGCTGCAGCGACCTGGGAGGACGCACCAACCGGGGGGGAAGCGGTGTGTAGGGTAAACAGACCGGACACCGGGTCCCGGGGGAACGTCGCAAGGGGGGAACCTGAGACAGCCTCAGAACAGACAGCGAACCGCTCGTGCCCGGGGAACGTGGTGGTGACGCCGAGGTCCTGGAGACAGCCGACACCAACCAGGTTCCTGGAGAACGAGGGAACGTGGAGGCCAGTAAGGGAGCCCGAGGGAACTGCCGGACAAGGAAGGGACGTAGAACTGCGCGCGACGACCGGACCCGCAGAGGGGTCAGCGAGAGAGACAACAGCAGGTGCAGCAAGCGGCGTGAGCGTGGAACGGTCGCGGAAGAAGCAGGCAGAAGCACCAGAGTCGAGAGTGAAGGACAGCGACGCAGTGGCGGAGGCCGGGGACAGAGCCGGTGCAGCGACTAGACTAGGCAACCTAGGCAGTCCTACGCCTGTCGCAGCAGGGGAAGCTAAGCTACACAAGGGTGAAACACCTAAACTAGAGTACACAGGGTAGTAAGATCCAGCAACACTAGAAGCGTCAGCATACAAAGCATGCAAAGCAGCACCTATCTGATCCATGTCTAACTCAAAGATCGGCACGCCCTGGCGGAGCAGGCTGTGCCAGTCAGGGAGGTCCGGGGCCGGGCCAAAGCGACGACGAAAAAGATCGTCGAGGCGGCGGAAACAGCGGGCGGTCGGGTGCGGGCGGCGGCACAGAGTGCCGCGGAGAGGCCCGGTCTGAAGCTGGTACTGGCAGGTCACAGCACTGGAGCCGCTGGTAGACGCCAAGCTGCGCGGGCCGCCACCACGGCCACCGCCTCCGGAGGTGCCGGGCCAACCAGGCGGGAGACGAGCCCACGGCTGCGGCGGGTGCTGCTGGGACGGCGGCTGCGGCTGGGGCTGGTCCTGCTGCTGCTGGGGCTGCTGCTCCTGCCCACCGGTGGTAGTCCCCTCAGGCGGACTACCGTCACCACCACCACGACCACTACCACCTGCGTCACCACCCCTACCTCCCTGGCGGCCACGGCCACCGCGACGCGAGCGCTGCTGCGGGTGGACAGCAGCAGCCGTCTCGGTAAGAGGGGTCGCCGTGGCGACCGCAGCCGAAACGTCAGTGAACGTGCACTGGGATGGGGCACAGCCGTGAAAGATAGAGACTGCCGGCGCACCGCTCGACTGAGCGATAGTGCGCTGGCGAGTCTCGATCTCAGTGAGGGTGTCGACAAAGGCGATCAGGGTGAGGTCACCCGGGTGCTGGCTAAGAAAGTGGTCGCGAGCACTAGCGAGGCGGTCTGGCAGGCGCATAGCGATAAAATAGAGCGTCATGCAGAAAGGAGGGGGGAGCGCAGTGAGCTGGGCAGCAGTGCTGGCAGTGCGATAGCGAGTCTCTAGGGCACGCAAATGAGTGGCAAAGTCTGCGACAGTAGGGAAGGCAGCCAGGTCTGGGAACAGCATCGGAAAGAGCAAGCGGCCAGCAGAAGCGGAGGCAGGGGTGGAATAGCGAGCAATAACGGCGTCTAAATAAGCTTTGGCCGTTTCAACAGTAGCAAAACGCGAGCGCTCAGACACAGTGAGGGCGTGACTAATAGCAACCTGAGCTACTGCATCGCGTGAGTCCCAGACCGCACAGGCCAGCGCAGCAGTAGAGAAAGCCTCACGGTCATCAGAGGAGGGGTCAGCAGGGAGGGGAGTAGGTGCAGGGGGACGGGGGAGCAAGCCATCAGCATGGACAACCAGAGAGTGGCCATCCTGGCGCTGACCTGTAAGCTGGCGGCGGAGATCGGAGAGCCAGGCGGCGAAGTCAACCGCGTGGCCCTCAGCGTCCAGGCGGAGCACAAAGTCAGCCATCGTGCAGGGTCAGCGGCACAGCTCCTCAGCGACACAGCGGCACAGCAGCACAGCTCCTCAGCGGCACAGGAGCACAGCGGCGCGGGGACACGGCGGCAGCACTCTCCAGTAGGGCAGCAGCTAGGCGTCCCAGCGCAGGCGAGCAGAAGACACAGGGCCCGAGAGGACACGGCAGGCCGAGCAGGGGAGGCGGGCAGGTGCTCTGGGGCCGGGCTGGTGCTGGGAGGGGCCAGGCTGGTGCTGCTGGGGCCGGTCGGGCACGAGGAGGGGCCGGGCAGCGCTGAGGAGAGGCCGGGCGGCGCTAGGAAGGGGCCGGGCGGCACTAGGAGGAGGCCGAGCGGCACTAGGAGGCCAGGCAGGCGAGCGCTAACAGCAGGCGCGACAGGGGCCAGCGGGCGCGACGAGGCCTAAGGGGCGCGACGGGGCCCAGCGGGCACGACGGGGCCCAGGGGGGGCGCGACGGGGCCGAGGAGGCGCGACGGGGACCAGCGGGCACGACGGGGCCCAGGGGGGCCGCGACGGGGCCTAACGGGCGCGACGGGGCCCAGGGGGGGGCGCGACGGGGCCTAGCAGGCGCGACGGGGCCTAGGAAGCGCGAAGGGGCCCAGCGGGTGCGACGGGACCTAGGAGGCGCGACAGGGCCCAGCGGGCGCGACGGTGCCCAGAGGGGGCGCGACGGGGCCTAGGAGGCGCGACGGGGCCCAGCGGGCACGACAGGGCCTAGGAGGGGCGCGACGGGGCCGAACGGGCGCGACGGGGCCCAGAGGGGGGGGGACGCGACGGGGCTTAGGAGGCGCGACGATGCCTAGGAGGCACGACGGGGCTCAGCGGGCTCGACGGGGCCCATGGGGGGCGCGACGGGGCCTAGGAGGCGCAATGGGGCCCAGCGGGGGCGCGTTAGGGCCTAGGGGTCGCGACGGGGCCCAGCGGGCGCGACGGGGCCCAGGGGGAGCGCGACGGGGCCTAGGAGGCGCGACGGGGCCCAGCGGGCACGACGGGGCCCTGGGGGGGCGCGACGGGGCCTAACGAGCGCGACGGGGCCCAGGGGGGGCGCGACGGGGCCTAGGGGGCGCGACGGGGCCTAGGAGGCGCGACGGGCGGAAGCGGTAGGCGGGGGGATCCTAACCTAAGCGTGATACCATGTTAACGTAGAAACGAATAATTACTAGAGGTGGAAACCTAGAACAAATACTAGTTGGTTGTACTCACTAGAAGCATACCTCAGTCTAGCCTATAACTTCTACATAGATAATATGTATAAGTTGACACAACTCTCTTCAGAGCACCTCATTATTACAGTACAAGTCAGCCGTTGTACCCCAGCTGGAAATGTGTGTGTGCTGTGCTGATAACTAGAATCCACTTCACGGGCCAAGGAGGCAGAGAGGGTCCTGTTAAGAGACACACTGGGGTTGCCCTTGAGATCCTCGGGGAAGGGTCACAGGTGCAGAGCCCGGGGGGTTATGGGCGCACTTACCCGCTACTTAACAAGCCCTTTTTACTCAGTGGTTAGTGACTCAGTTCTGACCAGGGCTGACGTTTCAAAAAAAAAGCACTCTGAGCCAATCCCCCTCAAAAAAAAAAATAGTCTGAAGGGCCTTCAGCCGAAATTTTTGTAGTCTGAAATGTCAGGGTCCAGAACTCAGCGAGTCTGATTTTTTCAGGGTCCAGGACGTACAACCAGAATCACACACGGGAAACACCCCCACAGCGAGAAACATCCCTCCCTCCTACACCTCCCAAAAAATCGGCTAAGTTCCTTGCAGCATTAAAAATCCTCCCACAGCCCGGGCCCCCCCCAACTAGCAACCTTGTCATACTCTCGTTTTGCGTAGTTGTTAAATGTGGGAAACGGGGAAGTCATTCCTAAAAACGGAGGGGGTAAAATCGCACTGCCACGGAAATCGAAACTGAGAGGTGGAATCGAGCCTGACGGGGAAATGGGGGAGGGAATCAAAATGGAAGGGGAGGGGGGAAGCGAAACGGAGGGGAGGGGGGGAAGGGGGGGGCGGTCGAAACGGAAAGGATGGGGGAAGCGAAACGGAGGGGAAGGGGGGAAGTGATCGAAACGGAGGGGAGGGGGGAAGCGAAAATGGAGGGGAAGGGGGGAATCGAAACGGCAGGGAGGGGGGAAGCTGGGGAATAGGAGGGTGGGAGAAATTTCGCGCCCTTGCAGCGCCCAGGTTGGGAAATCGTGGACGTTAATCGCTATATGACATCGAACGATTGATATACGTCGAAACGATCGCAAACGATCGTGATCTTTAAATTTTGTTAGACTTTTAGTTGACCAAACGGGCAACTGGCGAGAATTTCCCTATGTTAAAAATGCGGAATTTACTCTCATTTCAATGCAGTTCAAAAAAAAGTGAAAGTCTCATTCAAAACTTCTGGGTTGTTCAAGGTGTTAGGGAGGACTGTATCTGACAACACGAATTAGTCGAAATTTAGGGTGGGTTGTGGGGTGTGTGTCAGAATGAGAACGAAATGATGACTAGAGGTGGAAACCTAGAACAAATACTAGTTGGTTGTACTCACTAGAAGCATACCTCAGTCTAGCCTATAACTTCTACATAGATAATATGTATAAGTTGACACACCCCCTAGGCTAGACAAGGGGTGAAACTAAACAAGAAACAAACAGCTCAGGGCGGCACTACTAGTCCAACCACAGAGGCAGGGGTCTGGAGACCAGTCAGCAAGAATACAACCAAAACTGAAGCAAGCCAGGGTGGCACTACTAGTCCAGCCACTGGAGGTAAGGCCACAAGGCCAGTCTGACAAGCATATATAATAGAGAGTACACAATCAGGATCCTAACAGGGGAGCAGCTACAGGAACAAGACCAAGCTGTACACAGTGCCGCTGATGATCTTTAGGCGCAAGCGCCTTAGTAAAGATATCAGCTGTGTTGGCACCTGAGGCCAAGTGAACTACGCGGGCCTGGCGGCGCTGCTGTAGCTCACGCAGGAGAAAGTACCGCAGCTGGATATGCTTCGCTCTGCCCTCAAGCCGAGGCTCCTGACACAGGAGTATCATGGCCCTGTTGTCAGCGTACAGGACCGGGACAGAGCTAGGCCGCTCACCTAAGTCTGTGAGCAAGAAGGTCAGCCAGCGGAGCTCCTGTGCCGCCATGGCACCAGCGTAGATCTCAGCCTCACAGCTAGACTGAGCCACAGACGACGAGCGAGTGGATCTCCAAGAGATAGCACCCGAACCAAGGCTGAAACAGTAGCCCTGTGACGACCTGGGCGTCTCAGAGTCGTCTGCCCAAGAAGCGTCTGTGTGCCCAGTAAGGACCACTGGCCTGCGTCCTCCTAGCACTAACCCCATGCCTGATGTACTAGCAAGATAACGCAAAACCCTCTTAGCGGCAGACCAGTGCTGAGGTCGGTGTCTGCCTGTAGCCACAAAGCGAGCCAGGATGCTGAGAGGGTATGCGAGATCTGGGCGCGTGCAAGTCATCAGGTACATGAGGCAACCCACCAGCTCTGCGTAGGGGCCGCTGGGCTCTACTGGCTCCTCAGGAACAGGAGCAGAGAGCCCATGGTCTACGGGTAGAGGTGTGGGCTGTGCGGAGGAGAACTGAAGACCGAACCTCTGAAGGACCTGACGCACCAAGTGTGACTGGGTCAGAGTGATGGTGCGTGCTGCTCTGTCCCTGGAGATCTGCAGGCCAAGATAGCGACGCAGCTCTCCAAGGTCAGTGCAGGTGTGTCTCTTCAGCAGCTCAGCCTTCACAGAGGCCAGTGCGTCCCTGTCAGGGGTAGCGAAGACCAGGTCGTCTACGTAGACAAGGATGTAGAACGGAGTCTGGCCGGAACGCACAAACAGTGAAGGGTCAGCAGAGGACGGAAAGAACTGCAGGTCTGCTAACGTGGCACGTAGCGTGTCGTGCCATTCGCGGGGAGCCTGACGCAGGCCGTAGACCGGGCGCCTGAGAAGCCACTGGGTCCCAGGAGGGAAGGTACCAGTGAAGCCCTGTGGTCGGCGCAGGTAGACCTGCTCGTGTAGGCTGCCCTGAAGAAAGGCAGTAGAGAAGTCGAGGGAGTGAAGCTCGTAGTCACGCTGTGCTGCTACGTGTAGCAGCGCCCGAAGAGTGGTCATCTTCGGGGTCGGGGCGAAGGTCTGGAAGAAGTCAACCCCCTCGCGCTGACTGAAACCTCTGGCCACGTAGCGCGCCTTGAAGACAGGCGGCTCTCCAGGGGGGCGCTTCACCTTGAAGAGCCACCGACCATCGACTACGTTCACCCCAGGCGGGGGAACTGCGTCGACGTAAGTGCCGGTGGACCTCCAAGATGCCATCTCCTGCTCCATGGCAGCTATCCACTGAGAGGCCCAAGGTCCCGAGGTGGCCTCAGCGTAGGTGCGAGGGGTCGGGATGTCGAAGGCGTCTGGGTCACCCTCAGGGACTAGGAGCATGGAGCAGAGATGGGGAGCAGCCTCGGAAAGGAAAGCCAGCTCGTACTGCCTGTCCTCTAGGACGTCACTGCCAAGGGCAGGAGCACCCCCGACGGACAGAGGACGGGCAGGGTCAGAGACCAGAGCGGTAGCGTAGTCAAGGCGGCGGGTAGAAGCGAAGTCAGCGACAGCGGCGACAAGCGCGTCAAGGCGCGAGACAGGAACAGCAGGGTCGGTAACAAGAGAGGCAAGGACCCGAGGGACAAGGGGACGAGAAGCACGGAGGTAGTCAGAGAACGGAGGAGGTGCAACAGCAAGGGACGAGGGAGGAGGGGACGGGAGGAGGGGAGGACGAGACGAGCGGGAACGGAGCAACATAGGGTGGGTGGGCAGGACAGGAGAGACGGGACGAGCACGGGGGGGACGGCGAGCCCAAACGTGAGACGGAGGGGTAGGGTCAGGGGACAGCGGAGGAGACACAGGAGGGGAACGAGGAGGAAGACGGGCCGGAGACGAGTCCGGCGGCGGGAACACAGGACCGTAGACAGGGAGGTCAGCAGGCGGTGGGGGAGACACCGGCGCGCGGTCCGGTGAGGGAAGGCCGAGCAGGCGGAGAGCGGAAACCGGCGGCGACGGCTGCTGCGGCGGCGACGGCGGCTGGGCCGGAACTCTCGGACCAGCAGAGGCAGAACGACCGTCGGCAGAACACTCAACAGCAGCACCCCCAGAACCAACACCCCCAGAGCGAGAACCCCCTCCAACACCAGCGGCACCCCCAGAAGCCGCAGGACGAACACCCTCCTCCACACCAGCACCCCCAGGGGCCAAGAGCGGCGGCGGCAGTGGCGGCAACGACTGCGGCGGCAGCGACAGCGGCGACGGCTGCGGCAGCGACAGCGGCGGCAGCGGCGACGGCTGCGGCAGCGACGGCGACGGCGGCGGCAGCGGGGTCGGCGACTGCGACAGTGGGGGCGGAGGCACCGGGGAAGGGGGATGCGGCAAGGACGGATCGGGGGTACCACCAGAGTCAGCAGACTCCTCAACGGGGACAACTGACGGGAGGGGAGTGACGTGGGAGACACCAGACGGGGCAGGACGAGGCGGGAGAGGGGCAGGGGCTACCGGGGGAGAGGGAGCAAGGAACAGGGGGGGGGCAACTGGGAGACCTCGGTGAGGGAAGCGGCGGTAGAAGGAGACGGACTCGTCAAAGGTGACGTCACGAGAGTGGAGGAAGCGGTGAGACGGCGGGTGGTAGAAAAGCCAGTCAGACGAGTCCAGGGGGAAACCGAGGAAGACACAGGGGACAGTGCGGGCAGTGAGCTTGTCCGTGCCAGAGGCACGAACGTGAGCAAGGCAGCCCCAGACGTGGAACGCAGACGCGTCACCGGGGGACCCGGTCCAAAGGAGGGTCGGCGAAACCTGCGGCCGCTGGGAGCGTGGCCACAGGTTAAGCTGGTGAGCAGCGTAGCGAACAGCGAACGGCCACAAAAAATGGGGGGCATCGGCATGGATCATGGAGGTACGGGCGACCTCCATGACCAAGCCGATGCGGCGCTCAGCAACCCCATTCTGCTGTGGCGAGTCCGGCAAGGTGTACGACTGGGTGATGCCCTCCGCACGACAGAACTGTCCAAGCCGACCAGAGGCGAACTCGCCGCCACGGTCGGAGTGGAGACACAACACGGGGAGACCGCGGTGGAGACGCGCAGCCACAACCCACGGGAGAAGAACGTCGGGCACGTCGGCCTTCCGCTCCAGGGGAAACACCGTGGTGTAGCGCGAGTAGTCGTCGACGAGCACAAGGAAGTAGCGCTCACCGCGCGGTCCGGGGACGGGGGCAGGGCCCCAAACGTCCAAGTGCAAGGTCTGAAGGGGGGCAGTAGCAGGACGCAGCGAGGAGGAGTGAGGAGCACGGCGAAGCCGACCCTCGACGCAAGGCGTGCACGGTGGCGCAGTCGAGGGAGGAAGGGCAGGGAGCGACGCAGGGAGACCTAAGACAAGACCGTGCTGGGACATGTGACGCAGACGCGGGAGAGCAGGGTGACCTAAGCGGTGGTGCCAGAGAAGGGAGGGGTGAGCGAGGGACCGACACGAGCAAGCTGCAGCGACCTGGGAGGACGCACCAACCGGGGGGGAAGCGGTGTGTAGGGTAAACAGACCGGACACCGGGTCCCGGGGGAACGTCGCAAGGGGGGAACCTGAGACAGCCTCAGAACAGACAGCGAACCGCTCGTGCCCGGGGAACGTGGTGGTGACGCCGAGGTCCTGGAGACAGCCGACACCAACCAGGTTCCTGGAGAACGAGGGAACGTGGAGGCCAGTAAGGGAGCCTGAGGGAACTGCCGGACAGGGAAGGGACGTAGAACTGCGCGCGACGACTGGACCCGCAGAGGGGTCAGCGAGAGAGACAACAGCAGGTGCAGCAAGCGGCGTGAGCGTGGAACGGTCGCGGAAGAAGCAGGCAGAAGCACCGGAGTCGAGAGTGAAGGACAGCGACGCAGTGGCGGAGGCCGCGGACGGAGCCGGTGCAGCGACTAGACTAGGCAACCTAGGCAGTCCTACGCCTGACGCAGCAGGGGAGGCTAAGCTACACAGTGGTGCAACACCTAAACTAGAGTACACAGGGTAATAAGATCCAGCAAAACTAGAAGTGTCAGAATACAAAGCATGCAAAGCAGCACCTAGCTGATCCATGTCTAACTCAAAGATCGGCACGCCCTGGCGGAGCAGGCTGTGCCAGTCGGGGAGGTCCGAGGCCGGGCCAAAGCGACGACGAAAGAGATCGTCGAGGCGGCGGAAACAGCGGGCGGTCGGGTGCGGGCGGCGACACAGAGTGCCGCGAAGAGGCCCGGTCTGAAGCTGGTACTGGCAGGTGACAGCACCGGAGCCGCCGGTAGACGCCAAGCTGCGCGGGCCGCCACCACGGCCACTACCTCCGGAGGTGCCGGGCCAACCAGGCGGGAGACGGGCCCACTGCTGCGGCGACTGCTGCTGGGACGGTAACTGCTGCTGGGGCGGCGGCTGCGGCTGGGGCTGCTCCTGCTGCGGCTGGGGCTGCTGCTCCTGCCCACCAGTGGTAGTCCCCGCAGGCGGATTACCGTCACCACCACTACTGCCACCACCACCCCTACCCCCCTGGCGACCACGGCCACCGCGGCGCGAGCGCTGCTGCGGGTGGACCGCACCAGCCGACTCGGTGAGAGGGGCCGCCGAGGCGACCGCAGCCGAAACGTCAGTGAACGCACACTGGGAGGGGGCACAACCGTGAAAGATAGAAACTGCCGGCGCACCGCTCGACTGAGCGATAGTGCGCTGGCGAGTCTCGATCTCGGTGAGGGTGTCGACAAAGGCAGTGAGAGTGAGGTCACCTGGGTGCTGGCTAAGAAAGTGATCGCGAGCACTAGCGGGGCGGTCTGGCAGGCGCATAGCGATAAAATAGAGCGTCATGCAGAAAGGGGGGGGGAGCGCAGTGAGCTGGGCAGCAGTGCTGGCAGTGCGATAGCGGGTCTCTAGGGCACGCAGGTGAGTGGCAAAGTCTGCGACGGTAGGGAAAGCTGCAAGGTCTGGGAAAAGCATAGGGAAGAGCAGGCGACCAGCAGAAGCAGACGCGGGTGTGGAATAGCGGGCAATAACAGCGTCTAAGTAAGCTTTGGCCGTCTCAATAGTAGCAAAACGCGAGCGCTCAGAGACAGGGAGGGCGTGGCTAATGGCAACCTGAGCGACTGCATCGCGGGAGTCCCAGACCGCACGGGCAAGCGCAGCAATAGAGAAGGTCTCACGGTTATCAGAGGAGGGATCAGCAGGGAGGGGAGCAGGTGCGGGGGGACGGGGGAGCAAGCCGTCGACATGGACAACCAAAGAGTGGCCATCCTGGCGCTGACCTGTAAGGTGGCGGCGGAGATCGGATAGCCAGGCGGCGAAGTCAACCGCATGGCCCTCCGCGTCCAGTCGGAGAACAAAGTCCGCCATCGTGCAGGGTCAGCGGCACAGCTCCACAGGAACACAGCGACAGCCCCCTCCAGCACGGCGGCCGCGAAGCGCCTCAGCACGGGCGAGCGGAGGAGACGGAGCCCGAGGCGGCACGGCAGGACGAGCCGGGGCGAAGGGGTCAGGCAGGTGCGGTGGGGCCAGGCAGGTGCTGGCGAGGCCAGGAAGGCACGGCGGGGCCAGGCAGGCGCGGCGGGGCCAGGCAGGCGCGGCGGGGCCAGGCAGGCGCGGCGGGGCCAGGCAGGCGCGGCGGGGCCAGGGAGGCGCGGCGGGGGCTAGGCAGGCGCGGCAGGGCCAGGCAGGTGCGGCGGGGCCAGGCAGACGCGACGGGGCCAGGCAGGCGCGACGGGGCCAGGCAGGGCGCGACGGGGCCAGGCAGGCGCGGCGGGGCCAGGCAGGCGCGGCAGGGCCAGGGAGGCGCGGCGGGGCCAGGCAGGCGTGACGGGGCCAGGCAGGGCGCGACGGGGCTAGGCAGGGCGCGACGGGGCCAGGCGGGCGCGACGGAGCCAGGCAGGGCGCGACGGGGCCAAGCGGCGGGGCCAGGCAGGTGCGGCGGGTCCAGGCAGGCGCGACGGGGCCAGGCAGGCGCGACGGGGCCAGGCAGGGCGCGACGGGGCCAGGTAGGCGCGGCGGGGCCAGGCAGGCGTGACGGGGCCAGGCAGGGCGCGACGGGGCTAGGCAGGGCGCGACGGGGCCAGGCGGGCGCGACGGGGCCAGGCGGGGCGCGACGGGGCCGAGCGGGCGCGACGGGGCCAGGCAGGGCGCGACGGGGCTAGGCAGGGCGCGACGGGGCCAGGCGGGCGCGACGGAGCCAGGCAGGGCGCGACGGGGCCGAGCGGGCGCGACGGGGTCAGGCAGGGCGCGACGGGGCCAGGCAGGGCGCGACGGGGCTAGGGTGGCGCAACGGGGCTAGGGTGGCGCGACGGGGCCCAGGAGGGGCGCGACGGGGCTAGGAGGCGCGACGGGTTCCAGGAGGGGCGCGACGGGGCTAGGGTGGCGCGACGGGGCTAGGGTGGCGCGACGGGGCCCAGGAGGGGCGCGACGGGGCTAGGAGGCGCGACGGGGCCCAGGAGGGGCGCGACGGGGCTAGGGTGGCGCGACGGGGCTAGGGTGGCGCGACGTGGCCCAGGAGGGGGGGGGGGGGGGGGCGACGTGGCTAGGAGGTGCGACGGGGCTAGGAGGCGCGACGTGGCCTAGCTAGGGTACGGGCGGAAGCGGTAGGTGGGGGATGCTAACCTACGCATGATACCATGTCAGAATGAGAACGAAATGATGACTAGAGGTGGAAACCTAGAACAAATACTAGTTGGTTGTACTCACTAGAAGCATACCTCAGTCTAGCCTATAACTTCTACATAGATAATATGTATAAGTTGACAGTGTGTGGGGGATGTCTCTAGCGTTCCGGGACTTCGCCGAAATTTTAGATGGGTTGTGGGGTGTGGGATGGGGGTTGTCTCTAGGGTTTGGGGACTTGGCCGAAAAGTTTTAGGAGTTGTGGGGTATGTGGGGCATGTCTCTAGCGATTGGGGACTTCACCAAAATTTTCGAAGGTTGGTACTGTACAGGTAATGAGTCAGGGTCTGTACGCGATGTGCTCTGAAAACTCAGTACTGGGTTAGCGACAACTCTGATTTTCTCAGGATCCCTAGAATCGTACTCTGAAGGGATCAGGATTGGGAAAATGCCTTATCTGGAAATTCAGGTTTGGCCAAAAAATAGGTCTGAGATTTCAGACTAATCAGAGTAAATAGTCTGATAAAGTCAGCCCTGGTTCTGACAGGTTCTTCCCTGACTTGGTTGCCTCAAAATAGGGGCAATGTTGTGCAGTATAGCTTGATGTGTCGTGCAGATCACGAATAGGGTGAGCCTTCACACTGCAGGGGAGAGGGGGCGATGGCAAGAGGCGAGAAGTGTGAGGATGGGGAAGGTTGGGTACAGCCAGAGTTTGCAAGTGCAAAAATTGCTCAGCTCACATCAGGAAGTACCTCGTATAACCACATGTCAAAATCTAAAAACACCTGAAGGCGCCCCAATACACCTCACCACTCACCCCAGTTGCTGTGAAGTTGCAGGTGACCCGCTGCCTCAACGCAGCGATTGACTTGCCATAGGTGGCGTCCGTGTGCCACCACCCCACTGCGCGCCACCGGGGGGTGGGCTCGTCACACACGCCCTGCTCCGTGCCCGACCCTAGCTCGCGGTAGTGCAGCAGCTGCAGGTCGCTCGTGCTCAGGTGGGCCATGCGCGGGTAGGCTGGGTCGGAAGGGGCGGGGCCGAAGACAGTCATGGTGTCCACCTGGTTGTGGGTGCAGACGGAAAGGGAGAGGAGGGCAGCGACGAGCGACAGGACTGAGGTCAGCCACCCGACCCCAGCTCCCGGTAGTGCAGCAGCTGCAGGTCGCTCGTGCTCAGATGCGCCATGTGGGGGGTCGGTGGGAAATATCAGTGCAGAGCGGAACACACTCATGGTATCAAACCGATAGGGAGCTGCTTCAGGCACCCGAACCTAATGAGCGTGGGGACTGGGCAGCGCAAAGGAGGGGAAAGCTGGAGAGGGGAGGACGCAAGGGGGTATGGGCAGTGTAAATGACAGCAGGGGAAGTGCGGACAGTGGACGAGTAGCGAGGCACAAGGGGGGAGTAAGAAGAAAAGGAGGGCTGGGCTCGTGTCTTGGACTGGACACTTCGAGAGGCACTCACCCGTCTCGGGTCCACAATGAACTTGCGGTGGCCCTTCTCCCCCGGGCACAGCGACGGGTCAAACACCCTCTCCCCATCGTGCTCATTCTCATGGCACGCGGGGTCGGGCCAGTGGAACACAAACCGCTCCACCTGGAGCTCTCCGTCCCTCGCCCCCCCCCATTGCGACTCCTTGGGTACCTTTTTGTCCCGCACCACCCCTCCCCTCCACAGCCGCCCCCCCCTGCATCCACGCCCCCTGCTGCGGCCGCTCCTGCTGCTGCTTCTCTCCCAGCTGCCATGCCTGCTGCTGCTGGGTCGGGTAGGCCGAGCACCTCGATTTCGTGGTCGGCGCGCGGGCGGCAGAGGTGGATGGAGAACCAGAGAGAGCCGAAGGTGATGCCGGCCACTGAGCTGCTGCTGCCGCCCCTGCTGCTGCCGCTGCCGTCGCCCCACCCACTCAGGCTGGGGTCTGCGGCTGTGGCGACAGCAGCAGAAGCTGTGCCGTTGCTGCTGCTGCTGCTGGTGGTGGTTACCGTGTTACCAGCATCGTAGGTCTCTAGCAGGATATGCAGGGGGGGCAGAGGGCGCGGCTCAGTGACAGGCGGCAGCCAGAGGTAAGAGTCCAGGTCTACATACAGCAGCCATCGAGCCGACAGGCGCGAGCGGTAGATGCAGTCATGCAGAGCCGGCACCTGCCCGTGATTCCACATGTGCTCCCGCTCCAACAGCCCCATCATGTCCAACAGCACTGCTCTCCCCTTCTCCTCCTCCCGCCTCACTACTTCCCTCACCCCCTCTGTGGCTCCCCCTGCGTTGTAGAGCAGGAAGGAGTCGATGCCCAGCAGGCGGTGGTACGAGAGGAACTCGAGGAGGGCGCGGGGCGAGAGGGACGGGCCGTAGAGTGGGGGGAGGCAGAGAGTGAGGTGCGAGGGGAAGGGGGGAGGGAAGGGAGAGGAGGAGGAGGAGGAGGGGGTGGTGGTGGTGGTGGATGGTTCGTCGGGGGGTTGTTGCTCCCTGGTGTGGGGAGGGGAGGGGAGGAGGATGGTGGGGATGTGTTGAAGGGTGTGGGGGGGAAGAGTAGGTGGCAAGTTAGCTGGACATCCGGCAAGTTAGCTGGACGCCAGGCAAGTTAGCTGGACGCCTGGCATGTTAGCTAGACATCCGGCAAGTTAGCTGGACGCCAGGCAAGTTAGCTGGACGCCTGGCATGTTAGCTGGACGCCTGGCAAGTTAGCTGGACGCCAGGCATGTTAGCTGGACGCCTGGCAAGTTAGCTGGACGCCTGGCAAGTTAGCTGGACGCCAGGCAAGTTAGCTGGACGCCAGGCAAGTTAGCTGGACACCAGGCAAGTTAGCTGGATGCCAGGCAAGTTAGCTGGACGCCAGGCATGTTAGCTGGACGCCAGGCATGTTAGCTGGACGCCTGCCTCTTTGGGCCTTATTTTTGTTACCCTGAAAGCTGCCCAAGATTTTCCGTTTCTGGTTTGGCATTTTCTGCAGAGTTGCAAAGCAACGTCCATCCGAAACAGTTGATAACACATGCGCAAGAATCGCCTCTCATTGGGTTGAACTAATTGGGTGCATTATTGTCGGATTCCCTTATGTTTGGGTGTAAAACTGTCGTGAGAGGAGAGCGAAAGAGAGGAGGGCGAAAGGGAGGAGGGCGAAAGAGAGGAGGGCGAAATGGAGGAGGGCGAAAGAGAGGAGGGCGAAAGAGAGGTTATCACAAGCACCATGCAACATCCCGCACCTGATGAGGGGGATGGTCACGCCGCCAGCCAGCACTGCTGCCGCGCTGCCTCCATACGGCAAAGCCCCCTCCCCCCCACCCCCCCTCCCCTCCCCTTGCTGCTCCCCCTCCCCAGGCGCAGCAGGGGGGGGGAAGGAGCAGCGCAGCACCACTGTTTCTGACGGTTGCTCTGAGGGGTGCGAGGGGAAGAACGCGGAGAGGGCTCCCCGCACTGGGGGGAGGGGGGAGCCAGAGGGGGGAAGCCAGCTGTTTGGGGGGGGAGGAGGGAGAGGGGGGAGGGGGAGAGAGATGCTGAGAGGGGTGCGAGGGAAAGAACGTGGAGAGGGCTCCCCTCACAGGGGGGAGGGGGGAGTTAGAGGGGGGAAGCCAGCGGTTGGGGGGGGAGGGAGGCGGGGGGGAGGGGGGGAGAGAGCAGGGGGGAGGGGGGGAGTGTGAAGCAGAGAGGGGTTTCTATGCAGGGGGCGGACGGAACCTGAGGGGGGTTAGGCAGCACGTGGGGGGCGGAGTGGAGGACAGTAGCGGTAGAGAGACGAGTGAGGTCAAGAGGTGTGGACGGGAGTTGGAGGAAAGAGAAAAGAGGACGGAGGGAAAGGCGGGAGGGTAGAGGGAGAAGGGAAACTGAGAGCGCAGGGGTGAAGGGAGAGTGAGGGTAAAGAGAGTGGGAATTCGGGTATCAAAGGAAAATGGAGGACGATTATTGAGTAAACTAAGGCGGGGGGGGGGGAGGGGGGGGGATGCTGACAGACAGTGAGAGGGGGATTGAGAGGAGGAGTGAGATGGGGAGTGAGGGGAGTGAGATGGGGAGTGAGATGGGGAGTGAGGGGGAGTGAGATGGGGAGTGAGGGGGAGTGAGATGGGGAGTGAGATGGGGAGTGAGGGGGAGTGAGGGGGAGTGAGATGGGGAGTGAGGGGGAGTGAGATGGGGAGTGAGGGGGAGTGAGATGGGAAATGATATGGGGAGTGAGAGGGGGAGGGCCAAGCGGCACATACATGCAGTGGCTGAGCGGCACATACATGCAGTGGCTGAGCGGCACATACATGCAGTGGCTGAGCGGCACATACATGCAGTGGCTGAGCGGCACATACATGCAGTGGCTGAGCGGCACATACATGCAGTGGCTGAGCGGCACATACATGCAGTGGCTGAGCGGCACATACATGCAGTGGCTGAGCGGCACATACATGCAGTGGCTGAGCGGCACATACATGCAGTGGCTGAGCGGCACATACATGCAGTGGCTGAGCGGCACATACATGCAGTGGCTGAGCGGCACATACATGCAGTGGCTGAGCGGCACATACATGCAGTGGCTGAGCGGCACATACATGCAGTGGCTGAGCGGCACATACATGCAGTGGCTGAGCGGCACATACATGCAGTGGCTGAGCGGCACATACATGCAGTGGCTGAGCGGCACATACATGCAGTGGCTGAGGGGGGCGGAGAGGCTGCGGGCCGACAGGGGAGCCACGCCAATGGCAGCAAAGGCCGTTGGGGAGATGCGGTGCGCGCTGGGGGGTGGTGGAGGGGAGGGGCGAGAAGGGAGAAGGGAGGAGGGAGGAGGGAGGAGGGATACGTGATGAGGATCTAGGCTGGAAGCTGCTGGTGATGCGAGCATGGTGCCATGGCATGGGATGGGATGGCATGGCATGGCATGGCATGGCATGGCATGGCATGGCATGGCATGGCATGGAAGGGCATGGCATGGCATGGCATGGCATGGCATGGAAGGGCATGGCATGGCATGGGATGAATTGGGAGGTGCTGCAATGACATGGAAGAAGTGAGATGGTCGGAAATGGGATGGGATGGGATGGGATGGGATGGGATGGGGATGGGGATGGGATGGGATGGGATGGGATGGGATGGGATGGGATGGGATGGGATGGGATGGGATGGGATGGGATGGGATGGGATGGGATGGGATGGGATGGGATGGGATGGGATGGGATGGGATGGGATGGGATGGGATGGGATGGGATGGGATTGGGAGAAGGTTAGTGTTTGAGTTTACCTGAAACGGATGAACCTATAGCCAGATGGTGTGGAGTACTCTCTAAACGGCGTGTATTCTGACAGGCACACATGCACACATGCATACACGGGCGTGCACACACACACACACACATGGACGCACAACGAACACACAAAGAGAGATCAGAAAAGGAAGAGGACAGAGGACACCCACATATGCGCATTCACAGTCAGTTTGAAAGAGCAACACACAGCAGCAACTCATCGCCCTTCCTTGCCACCGTTCCCCCATAATTCCCGTTGCCCCTCCCCCCTCCCCTCTCCCCCTCCCCTCACCTTCCTCTCGACCAATCAGACCCAAGTCCGCTACCACACCCCCTCCTTCCGTGTCTCCCCCTTCCCTCCGCTCCCCCCTTCGCTCTTCGCCCTCTCCTTCTCCCTCCTGCCTCTCTTGCTGCTCCTGATGTTCCTGCTCCTGTCTTTGCCCCTGCTCCTGCTCCTGTGTTTGCTCCTCATTCTGCTCCTCATTCTGCTCCGTCTCCTCCTGCCGCTGATCCCCCCTCTGCCCCTGCCCCTGCCCCTGCCCCTGGGTCGGCAGCTCAAGCAGTGAGCCCCTGGCTGTAGCAGCAGCACCACCACCACCAGTGGCAGCGGCAGCGGCAGCACCAGCATCACCAGCACCAGCGGCAGCGGCAGCAGCAGCAGCAGCAGCCGCAGTGGAGGCGGCAGCAGAGTCGGCCTTGGCCGCAGCGACTTCTTTCTGCAGCTGGGCGACTCGCGCCTTGAGGCTGTCGATGATGGCGCGCTGCAGCCGCAGCTGCGAGGGGGGAGGGGAGGGGGCGCGGGGGTGGGAGTGGGAAGAGGAGGGGGGGATAAAAACGGGGAAGGAGGGGAGAGAGGGTAGGGGGCAAATTGATGATGTGCCTTGAGGCTCTCGATGATGGCGCGCTGCAGCCGCAGCTGAAGGGGAGGAAGCGAGTATGGGAGGGAGGATGGTGGGGGGGGGGGGGGGGGTAAAAGGGGAGAAGGAGGAGAAGGAGGGGGGACAGATTATGAGGCAGACTTTTGATGTGCCTCGAGGCTCTAAATGATGTGCCTCGAGGCTCTAAATGATGTGCCTCGAGGCTCTAAATGATGTGCCTCGAGGCTCTAAATGATGTGCCTCGAGGCTCTAAATGATGTGCCTCGAGGCTCTAAATGATGTGCCTCGAGGCTCTAAATGATGGCGCCCTGCAGACGCAGCTGAGAGCGGCAAAACGGGCAGGGAATGGGGAGGGGAGGGCGGGGAAGTGGGGCGGTGAGGGGAGCGGCGTTAGGGGGAGGGTGGGGGTGGGGGAGGGAGGTGGGAGGTGGCTAAACACACACATTACCTCCCTTCTCCTCTCCTCTCTCACCTGTCTACCCGCCTGTCGTCCCACCTTCCCCTCTTGCCCCGCCACCTCCTCCCCCTCCACCACCAGCTGCCTCCTCCCCCCTCCCCCATCCTCCCCCCCCTCCCCTCCGCCTCCGCCTCCCCCTAGCGCGCCTATCTCCCTCTCCACCACCTCTTGCACGCGCCCCTCCGCCAGGCGCCCCAGCGCGCCCTCGAGCCCCTGCGTGCGCTGCAGCAGCGCGCCGAGCAGCTGCACCTGCTGCTGCGAGCGCGACGACAGCTCCGACACCACTGACGCCTGCGCCTGTAGCTGCCGCGCCAGCTGCGCCTCGCTGCTCGCCAGGCTGGGGGGAACGAGGGGTGGAGGGGAGGGGAGGGGAGGGGGGTGTGATAATGAAGGGGGGAGGAGAGGGGGAGGAGGGGGGGAGGGGGGGGGCGAGGGGAGTGGTGTGTGGGGACGAGTGGAGTGGAGGGCAGGAAGGAGGGGTGAAGCGAGCATCAAGGCAGTGTGGCACGGCTGTCCAAGACAACAGGCACTGGTTACCTTGTAACGAAGGGCGTGACGTCATCCTTTCTGAAGTCCCTCACGTGTGCCGTGTTCTGATGGCGCAAAGGGGTGGGGCAGGTGAGATGGGGTAGAGAGAAGGGGGGAAAAAGAAGAGGGAAGAAGGAAGGAGAGAGACGAGGAAGCGGGGGGCGGAAGAGGGGAGGGAGGAGGGAGGAGAGGAGGGAGGAAAGGAGGAAGGAGAGGAGGGAGGAGAGGAGGGAAGTGGGGGTGAGGGGGAGGGGGCATGAAATGCATGAGAGAGAGGGGAGATAAATGCGGGGGCAAGGAGGCACAGAGGTCAGAGAACGAGGGGAGAGGGGGGGGGGGGGGGGGGGGGGGGGGGGGGGTGGGGTTGTGCTTTTTTTCTCCTGAAAGAAGTTTCAGCAGGGGAGGGGGTTTGGTGGGCAGAAAGTGGCCTTGATCCTATTTTGAGCCAAGGCGGGTTACAATGGATGGGTTGACTGCGCTTGCGCGGTTCATGTGCAGACGAAAGCTTTCCGCGATCCCCTGCCCTCCCCCTCCCCCTTCCCACCCCCCCTGCACCTTCCCCTCGCACTCTCCTTCGCTTTCACCTTTCGGCCCCTCACCCTCTCCCATACAATCTCCGCCCCTATGCGCGCCCCATCGCTTCCACCTCCCATCACCCCGCCAATTACCCCGTTCCTCAACGACCCTTCCCCCTGAAAGCACCCTTTCCACAACTGACCCCGCAGCCTTCCCCTCTCCCCCCGCCCTCGCGTGCCGCATCTCACCAGGAGGCTAATCAGCGCCACCAGCAGCAGGCCCGCCACCCATATCTTCCGACTCCCCTTCAGCGGGTCTCCGCCTCCCCCCAGCACGCTCGCGCCCCCGCCTCCCCCTCCGCGCCGCATCAGCGCGCCCCCCGTTGCCCCTCCGCCTCCGCCGACTCCCCCCGCGCTTGCGGCGCCGCACCACGCGGAGAGCGCGTCCACGGCGTCGATCGCGCATTCCAGCGTTCGTCTCTGCGCCGCCTTCGCCGCAGCAATCGCCATCGCCGCAAATTCCGCCGCATCTCGCGGCAATGTCGTTCCCGCGAGGCCGGCGGCGTGAGACCCCGCCTCGCGCGACTCGAGTCCGCCATTTGTCATTCTCACTGCCGGGGGGTGGCTCACGGGCAGTATAGCGTTCTCCGGAATCCCCTCCTTCACTCCGTTGATTTCGTTGATTCCCTTAACGCCGTTGACGCCGCTAAGCACACCGAAATCGACGCCGTTAAGCGCGGCGCCGTTGGCGGTTGGTCCCGCCACCAATTCAGGAATTATAAGGCTTGGCGCGCTGCGAATTGGCGTCGCGTGGGTGGAAAAAGACGACGAGGAGGAGGAAGAGAGCGCGGAAGCGAGGGTTGCAGGATGCGACGACGTCGCGAACCTGTCGCGAGGCGGCGAGGAGCCTCCCGCTGTTAGGAGCTGGGTGGAGCTCGCGAATCTGTCGGTCGAAGCGACGTCGCTTCGCGACGAATTAAGCACGCCGCTGTTGCTGCTGCTGCTGCTGCCGCTGCCTGGCGGCCTGAGCCTCTCGCGAACGTCTCTCTCTCCCGACATACCCTTGCCGTGAATCGCGGCGACGCAGGGCGTCTAAAACTCGATCGCGGTTTTCTAGCAGCACGCGCGGAGTGTGCACGTCTAATCAGCTCGCTGAACTGGAGTCTGCGCGAATGCGGCGTCGACAGTGGTGGTGCGCTAACACGAGAGCAATCGACAGGGCTGGTTGGAAATCGAGGGGAATCGGGCGCGAAGTGTGTCAATCAACCGCGTGAAATAAGGGCAGGACAGGACTCAGGGTGCAAAACAGTCGTGCAAATTAGGGCTGGGTGCCTTGTCAGCGAGAAGTCCACCCCGTGCCCCTCACATCCAATTTCACCTCACATACACTACAGAACATTCTTCGTGGCCGCCTTCTCATCTCAACCGTCCATCCATCCTTCTCTCAGACTCTGACTCGACTCGACTTCCTCGTGGACGGCGACGATCCCCTCTCCGACTGCCCCTTCCGGCCCAGCTTCGCTGGTCCAGCTCCAAGACGCTCCACCAATCACGTTGCGTACCCTTCCCCAAACAGGCCAACCCTTCGCGTGGGGCACGTTTGGCGCTTTGTGACACAAATGATGTCAACAAATGCTCCCCTATGCTGGGCTATGTCGTCCTTCGGTCCGTGAAAATCCCTCGTTTTTCAATGTTCCGAACAGATTTACGGGCGTGGTGTCCCTAACTCCCTCCTACACTCCACACCCCAAGTGAGCACTCTTCCGGTGTTATCGACTCTGTTGGTGGGATCACATATTTTGTGGGTGTGAATCTGTTTACTTAGCTCGTTGAGTTTCTGCGATTGGCTAAACTGAAGGAGCTCACGACAGGGTGTTCTAGCATAAGTACGAATATTGTTAAAACTTGGGGTGTCAGTGAAGGTACCCGAACCGAAACAGCTCAATCATGGTGATGGGGCCATGCGCCCACGTCTACCAACCAGTAGCTGCTTCTGTCCCTTTCTGGCTTATTGTTCCAGTACCACTCTGGACCATTGGGTGAGGCGTAGAACCTTGCATCGAGAACTAAATCAAGCCTTGCGAGGCCTTTCTTCTTTGATTGTTGAACCTTGCATATACACCTCGCATATACTACTCCTAAGTCGAGTAGGTTAATGGACTGCAATGTTGGTGGTAGGTGGACATTTCCCCTCATGGTGCGTATATTGAACATTACATATTCGTCATGAAATGTTGATCGAGTACCGTGGTTGCATACCGTATTACAGTCGAGGCGCGACAGAGTTACACAAGATTTTAGGGTGCCGGGAATTCAATCGGTCAAGTATTTCGCTGTCCCTCGCCACGGGCAAATGAGGCTTTCGCACGAGCACACGGCGAAATGGGTGGGTATTTGTGGGGGGGGGGGGCTTGTGTGGCGATATTTGTTGCCAGTGTGCGACTCTTGTGAAACGATCAGGCGACGGCGGTGCACAGTTCCGTGGCGACGAAACCTCGTCGTCAACGACTTGTCCCTTGCTATATGCTGGTCGCAGACGCAATCATGAGTGAATCAAACGGATATCACATTGCCCGCATATGGGGGGTTTAGGGAACGGATTCAGACTGGGCGCCAGGTTGAGCTGCGATAAGATTGGGCATCGACTGTATTTATCCTCATCTCCCCCTCCACACATGAACCGAACCTAGACAGTGGCGAGGTCAGGTCAGGACTCTCGAGTCACAATCAGCCCCAAATGTTCCTATCTGTTTCTTGGCTCCTCGCCACATCACAATCTGTTCCTCGACATGGCGCTCCATCGCACGAAACGTAGACCCTGCCAGCGCACCTTACGGCGCGCAATGCAACCCAAGCAGCTGGGGCAAACCAATCAGCTCCTCCGCTTAGCAAGACGGATTTTCATCGAAAGAAAGTTCACATTTCCCCATCCGCTCTACCGTAGGAAGCTATGAAGGAGCCAGTCGGTTCGTTTCTTCTTTAGGAGGCCTAGATCGGTGCTAATTATGTAAGCTCCTGGCCGCATCGAATGTCTCCGGCACGATGGTGTTCACGTTAGCGCTTGACTCGCGGCTGGCCTGGAGTGGTCACCGCTGCGACGGTCGCTGTCAAGAAGCGACTCGTTCAGGCAGCTTTTTAAGAACGCGACCTAAGTGTGTGCGATTCCGGAAGCTTGCGGTGATATGTTCCGCTGATTCAGTCGAAACACGGAGCAGCAAGGGTAAGGTGAGCTTGGAGCCCGCGAGTTTGTGCTATAGCTTTAAATTCCGACCCAGATTTAGAAAAACATAGGTTAATGCTTTTCAGACATTCGGTTTTTTAAACCGGCTGCTTTCGGCTTTCCGCGTGCAGGCAGAAGAGCCGCCAGCGTGCCGCACGGACGCGGCGTCCTTTCTGAGGGACCACATGCGGGATGAGCGGACCACACGCGAGCACCGACAGCCGGTGACGGCCGACCGCCTGCCAGATATGATTGCGCCGTATCGTATCTGCGGATGCGCGCATCCGGCTGGCCTGGGGCTGAACGTGCCTGTCTCGCCGTGGGAAGCAGATCTGCTGCTGCACGCTTCACCCGGCGCTGGCTCCAGTGTGACACAAACGAGGGAGCTTGAGAGAGCCTGTGACAAAGACCTCCTGAGCCCAGATGTAAGCGAAGCTAAGAGTAAATCGGAGGGGGAGGGACCTGGCTTGTCTGACTCCTACCTGCTTGCCGCTTCCCCTGCATGGGATGAAGGGGAGTGTGAGCGCTTCCTGTCTCAAGAGCTGGGTGGGGAGACAGAGCTCTCAGGAAAACACGGGAACCTGCAGACGGCACATGCCCAGAGGGAGCCAGCTCAGGGTGGTCTGGAGGAGGGCGAAACTGCATCCATGGAGGAAGCTTCCTCGAAGGCGATGGATGACTACAGGCGGCGTGCAGTGGTGATGTGGGCGGTGGGTGAGGCGATGGCGCATGAGGTGATGGGAGGAAGCAGAGGTGAAGGGACGCACAGGCAGACTGATACAAATGGCACGGATGATGGAGAAGCAAGAATGGAAGAGCACGGAGAGCATGCGCGGCAACATACCAGGTGGCAGTCCCATAGGCACACTAGGCCTCTGGAACAGAGACATGCTGTTGGATTCGACAAACGCGTGGGATGAATGGTAGTCTTGTGACTGAGGCGTAACGGTACATAGTGTGCTTTTCGATGTAAATACACGTCTTGATTGCAATGAGCAGAGGTTCAATCTACTTTATTAAGAGGTGAAGTGATTATGAAGGATGTGACAGAAAGACGTACAAGAAGTGTCCTTGCCCACGTAATAATGCCAATGATTGCATTTGCATGTCATATTTTGTTTTGAGGAATATACCTGTACCTTCATAGAACAATCTGTGCTGATTGTAACCCCTGCGAGCTGTACGGGTAACTTTTAGGGCTTCCCCTCCCTCCAGCTCCCACCTCAGTCAAGGCTCAAGACTGGAGGGCCAAACAGGCCTCTCTATATCCTAGGGCTCACCCTGCAGTTTCCAAGTTTGCCCGGGATCCAACTCGTCCAGGCTGGGTAGCCCTAAAAAGTTTGATTGTTTTTGCAGGCAAGAGTGTCGTCAAGCTCGGAATAAGCCACTCCTGACAATGACAGGGGGATAATTTTTCACTAGGGGCGCGAGCGTTTACATTAGATTTTACAGGGCGGGTCTATGCCATACTCGGAAATTGGCCGTGGGATAATTCTGGCTTGCCTGTCCATGGACGGGTATCGATATTCTGAACGCGTCAAAAGCAGGGCTAGGTTAAACTTTCGCCCTGTTTTCCTTGACAAATCAGGGTATTTTTCCTGAGTTCCAGAGGCCTGGGGCCAACATCTTTTCAAGAATCGTGGATTGTTGAAACACGGGTGCGTGCCACTTGTGCTCGTCCTCCAGGGTCAAGTCAATGCTGCAGGGAAATGCTTGCCTTTCAGTCACTCAAGGGGCAACATTTCCAATGCCATGTGCGATGACGTGGCAGGCTGGTTGTAAGGGGACAGGACGGGACAGGAGTCACGGGACGGCCAGGCCCAAAGGGGCAGGAGAGTTGAAATCAGGTACAGCGCGGTATTGGTACATTCCCCCAGAAGAATCACAATTCAGATATTGCACTCATTCCTTTAGAGCGAAATTCACCCTCAAAGGCCACCCAGTATTTGTGAGGGAGGGAGATAATCTCCTACGTAAAAGCTTGGTTTTACCTCCTATTTTGGAAAATGAGGCTACGATAGCTGGGATGGACGCGCATGGGTCTTTGCTCCTCGTTTTAGGGTTCACTTTAGGAGCGAATGGAAGGACCGACGCCTCAGTCAAGTCGTCGACTGCTTCCACTCGCGTGGGGATTCGGTATTTTCATAGGTGCGCTGGCGGCAAGCTGCTGCTGATTCGGTCATGATTCATCAACCCACATTCGAGGAGGATGCGGCCTGTTTGGCTGGGAGCCTGGGAGGCGATGGCCACTTCACGTGTACTGCCGTGCCGTCACAGTCACAGCGCAGCACCGACCCCCCCAAGCCAAACCAATGCCGCCCCGCAGGACCACGCACCGACCGACGCAGGTCCGGCTCGGCTCGGGCTCAGCTCGTTTCCTGAAGGTCGGGAACCATGGACTGCGGGTTCGTTGAGTGAAGGATCGTCCAGCCAGGCACCCTCGCGTTCTTCCCCTCCAATACCACCCCTTCCCTCCTCTCCTCCGTCGAATCCTCGCGTTCCTATCCTCGTTTGCTCATGCTGCTTCGGGTCAGCGACACTTGGGTGGGAGCCGGCGAGTTCCGCCATAAAAAAATGCCTCTGGAGCGGCAATCCCCCCCGGCACATTAATTGAAGGCCAGGAGACCGTCCGCCGTCCGGCGGACCATCCGCTGACCGCGGATCGTGTAAAGATACTGTATGTTTCAGACGGGCGTCCAGGCTCTGCTCGTGCTGCCGTCCGTCCCAACATTGGAACGTTTCGGTCCTTCGGATCCGCGCTCGGAGTGGCACTCCCGTGATATCCGCGCTCACCACCCCCCCTGATATTTACAACTCAATTCCCGTCCCCCGGCGCGAATCGTCTGAGCACCTTACCGCACCTTGCCGCACCGTGCCGCACCTTGCCGCACCTTGCCGCGGCCTTGAAGTAGTAGTAGTACCGCAGCATACTTCTCCGCACTAGTTGTATCCGCAGCCCTCGAGTAGAGTCGGCAGAAGGCCCCGAGTAAGGCGTCACGGATTACGAGACGCCTGCCGCTAGGAAGTCAAATCCCAAGGCGCGATTCCCAACTCTGGAGTCGGACTGCACGGACCTCAAAGGCCGTCCTCAGGGAAGCTCAAGAGTTCAATATACACGCTAAGCGGTGGCGTCTCGGCTCAGCCGTTTCGATTCGAATCCCACCTCCAAGATAGCGTCCGCTTGGGCGGCAACCCTAGGAACTGCTTACTACTAGGGTCGCTGGGAGGTGCTTCGAGGCCGCCATGCCGCGTTCGTCTGAAGCAATGGGTTCGAATTCTCCACCGCACAAGGCGTGGTCCCGAGAGGTGAGCGGCGAGGGGTGAGCGGCGAGGGGTGAGCGGCGAGGGGTGAGCGGCGAGAGGTGAGCGGCGAGGGGTGAGCTTCGAGAGGTGAGCGGCGAGGGGTGAGCGGCGAGGGGTGAGCGACGAGTGGTGAGCGGCGAGGGGTGAGCGGCGACCAGAGCCGCGAGCCGGTTCAGTCCATCTCAGAGCGTTGCTTGTGAATCCCCTCTGCTGCACCCCCTCGGCTTGAATTCCCTCTCGCGTCTCAAGCGAGAGACGACTCATTCTCTCGTTTTCTGCCTCCGCCGTTCCGCAGGAGGACGTGGTTCTGCTGCGCCCCCAGCTTCAAGACGGTTGTCTTTGCACTCGTGTGATTCTTTCTCATCGTTGCCTCCCCACTCACTCCCTCACTCACTCACGGCAGGAGGACGCGGTTCTGCTGCGCCATGCGCTGCATTGCGGCACGAGGCGGTGGGGAGCGCTGGGAAGGAGCGGTCGTCTGAAGAGAAACAACAAGTCGTGCTGTAACCGCTACATCTTCCTCAGAAGGTAACCTCTCGCACACCGCATCAATTTCAGAGATCTGTCTTCTTTAAAGGACGTGCCTTTGCTGAGCGTCCGTCCGCTGTGCGCCCTTGCGGTGGGTCCTGGCAGGAAGTTCCTCGACCGCTTTCAGCAGCACCTCTGGAGGGAACACTTGCACGCCGCCGCACCCCCCTGCCGCATTCCCATGGCTCAGAGTCCGCCCCTACATCATGGCCAGCAGCAGCAGCAGCAGCAGCAGCAGCAGCCAGCTAGACCGTCTGAGTCACCTCCACAAGCGCTTGCGTTCGGTGGGCTGTCGTTTGATGAGTGCAGGAGCGTCTTCCTCTCACCCAATTCCCGCCAAGCAGCAGCCCAAGCCGACCTCTCGTCTGCCTTCGCCTCTGCCGCTGCCTCCCATGCCGCTGCCTCCCATGCTGCTGCCTCCTTTACCGCTCCTCTCTCCACTGCTGCTGGAGCCAGCGCTGCTGTCCTGGACGCCACCGCTGCCTTCTATGAGGTGATGGGCGCAGCTCTGAGCGCCGACCCTGCAGTGGTGAGCGCAGCTCTGAGCGCCGACCCTGCAGTGGTGAGCGCAGCTCTGAGCGCCGACCCTGCAGTGGTGAGCGCAGCTATGAGCGCCGACCCTGCTGCCTCCGATGCCGCTGCAGCGGTGAGTGCAGCGACCGGCCCCTGCTCAGCTGCCATCGACGTGCCCAAGAAGCGCTCAAGGGAGGGCTGCAGCACGGGGCTTGGGGCCGACCCACCAGTGCGGGGCGGAGCTGAGAATGGGGCGGCGTGTGGGGGGGTGCGGCACTCGCGGTCCTTGGAAGAGCTCTGTGCGCCGCAGGGGGGGGAAAGAGGGGGGAGCGGGGGGCAGGCAGCGGGGTGGGGGCGCGTGGAGTCAGAGAGCGCCCTGCTGGATGGGCGGCTGCTGGATGCCCCGCTGCTCGATGACCCTCTGCTGGATGACCCTCTGCTGGGATTCAGCCGCGACGACCCTGCATTCAGCTGCGAGGACCCTGGCTTCAGCGTGCCATCTGCAGCACTGTCAGCGCCGCTGTCCACCCAACTTGCTGTGCTGGCCGGCTGTGGTCCCGGGAAGGTGAGGCGGTGCTACGGAGGGACTGCCCTCACCAATGCTTGGGATGGAGGGCAGGAGCTGACCCCGTCGACTGACACCTGCACCGAGGTGCAACGCAATGGGTCTCTCTTTCTCGACACGTGCCACTTGGTGCACCAACTCCCTCTCCTCATGCAAGAAGCCCAGCCAGACCAGGGCTCTCTTCCGCTTCCCACGTCCCCACCTCACCTGTGGCTGTCTGGTTCCTTCCCTGCCGCCCACCTGCCCGTGCCACCCCTGCCATCCGCCTTCACCCCCTGTGCTCCCTCCCACCTGCCCTTGGTGAGTGAGCCTGAGGGACGGGCGCTGGCAGTCCCAGCTGCTGGGGCAGCCATGGCAGAGTGGGCGGTGGAGCAGCGAGGAAGCGGGGAGGGAGTTGCTGAATCGCACTGCCCCCATCAGCAGCAGCAGCCGCAGCATCACCTGCAGCAGCAGCCACAGCATCACCTGCAGCAGCGGCAGCAGCGGCAGCAGCAGTTCCCAGACCTTCACGTGTGTGCACGCATGTACTCGTGTTCATTGCACCAGTCCCTGCCACAGCCTCGACCACACGTACCGCCACAGCCACTTCAAGAGCCACTACCACACCCACTGTCACACCCACCGCCGCAGCCAGTGCCGCATGCTCTTCTGCAGCCTCTCCATTCCCAGCAGCCAGTGCACAAGGACTGTGCAAACACCCCTCAAGGTGCCATGCGAATGATTGCGAACCCAAGGGGTTCGCGCATGCGCACGCTCATGCCGCGCCCGCTGCCACGCTCACTGCAGCAATCTTTGCCACACTCCCTGCCAGGCACTTCGCTGGTGCATGGGGGTTTAATCCATATACCAGGGGAGTTAAGGAATCGTGGCGGTGCTTCCGTACCTCGGATGCAGGATACTGTGGAAGCTCACATGGCTTCCGAATATCTCAACACGACGAACCACTACTTTAATTCGTACGGAGGTTCCACGACAAGTGTACTTGAAGTTAGGGGGCCAACCACTTCGAGGCCCATGATTGGTTGGGGGTTCGACATGCCAGACAGTGGCAATGAGCTGAGGAGAATATGCAGCTTCACTAGTACATACGCATCCCCTCTTTATACTCCCTCGCAATGTGCCTTTGCTCAAAGCTCTTGTGCATATTCTGGCTAGGTTTGCAATGCGTTTGACTAAGATGCCCTTTACTTGATAGAGGAAGGCTTATATAAGGAAATGTAATATAGTGTACCCGTAAAAGCCCGGATATAAGACCCCCTAGTAATAGAAGACCATGGGTCTTCTCTTAGGCGCTTATCTAGTGGTAACCCAGTTTTTTGCCCCTGGATCCAGGACCATTTGGAATATTTCTGAACGGTATGTGATAAGACCCATGGGTCTTATATCGGGGATAATACGGGTATGTACAGAACATTTATTACACCTGGAAGGCAAGACCTGGTCTTCCACTGCCTGCACGTCCGTCTGCATTCTGTAGGACCCGTCATCATCATCCCCGTCAGTTGCTCCGCTGGCGCAGGCTACAAGCCATCATTAGTTCCTCCTTGCTTTGACTGCCCAGATTGCATTTCTTCAACAACCACACTATAGTTCCTTGCTGCATAGTAAGCTGGCAGTTGCTGCCAATGGCGTTTCTGCGCGGTCTCGATACCCACTCGCCGAACTTGACTGGACATTAGCAGAAATCGCTCGCGTGGCGGGACTCCCAGGGAAAATCCTTCCTCGGAGGCGTAGGTGTGGTCACGTCACGTGCCGACTCCCGTGCTCTGTTAGGACCATGTACTTCCAAAAGATCGAGAGCTTTCAGGCGTAGCAAGGATACTGTTACATCTCCCAGTGGCGTCGTAACAATGTCGAACCAGCGTTTGCAGTGGGCGAGGGGGTCATTCATTCACAGTGCTTAAATGGACGCCACTCGGCAACCATTACTGCAGTCGTCATCTGCCAGCCACTGATTTTTCCTCGTGCTGCTTCCAGACTACAGTAGAAGGACCTTGCGGGCGGGCAGGATGCGACGTTCGTGCGACGTCCAAATCGTCTGCGAGGTCGCCCCAATCCCACCCGCCGAGACCGTCGTGAAATGGGCGGTCAACTCAGCACATCAGCGAAAGCAGAGAGAGCAGCCAAGCCAACCCGCCTCGACCCTCATCCGATGAGGGAGTCCCTTCTTCCCCATCGACCCCATCGACCCCATCGACCCATCGAGCCCATCGAGCCCATCGAGCCCATCAAGCCCCCCGCAGCCGTGTCCCGCCTGCGCGCGCGGGGGTACGCTGCATCCGCCCCTTGCGGAAGCGGCGGAAGCTGCGGAGTCCGTGTGACTCGGCGTGCAAGCCCCGGGATATCTCGTCTGAAATTTCGCGTCCGTACTGTTCGTCTCCGCACTGTTGGCCTCCGCACTGTTGGCCTCCGCACTGTTCCTCGAAAGAACCACCTGTCCGACGAATTCAGGCGTCTCCCCGGTGGCGAATTCCGATGATACTCGTTTCACTTAGGCGACTCAATTCAGTCCGTCCGCCATTGAACTACTCCGAGAAGCAAGACTGCCAAGGGAAAAACCAAAGTCGAAGAGATTGTCTCCTTCAAGGAAAACCCAGGGCGGGCTGCTCTTCTTCACGCGGGCTGCTCTTCTTCACGCGGGTTGCTCTTCTTCACGCGGGTTTGCTCTTCTTCACGCGGGTTGCTCTTCTTCACGCGGGTTGCTCTTCTTCACGCGGGCTTCTCTTCTTCACGCGGACTGCGCTGCTCTGCGCCGCCATGGCGCGTTCCTCGGAAGCGATCACGGGATCCGCGTCCCCGTCCTCCCCGATCTCCATTCGGCCCTGGTCGCCCGAGGTGAGTCCCCAGAGGTGAGTCGCCAGAGGTGAGTCGCCAGAGGTGAGTCGCCAGAGGTGAGTCGCCAGAGGTGAGTCGCCAGAGGTGAGTCCCCAGAGGTGAGTCGCCAGAGGTGAGTCGCCAGAGGTGAGTCGCCAGAGGTGAGTCCCCAGAGGTGAGTCGCCAGAGGTGAGTCGCCAGAGGTGAGTCGCCAGAGGTGAGTCGCCAGAGGTGAGTCGCCAGAGGTGAGTCGCCAGAGGTGAGTCGCCAGAGGTGAGTCGCCAGAGGAGAGTCCCCAGAGGTGAGTCGCCAGAGGTGGGTCGCCAGAGGTGAGTCGCCAGAGGTGAGTCGCCCGAGGCGAGTTCCCAGAGGTGAGTGCCAGAGGTGAGAGGCGATACGTGCGTGGTCTTGGTGGTTCAGCCGCACAGCCTGGCGGATGTCTGCCTCTTCGCACTCTCTTCCGCCGGATTCTTCTCCATGCTGCCTTCTCCGTCAGTTCTCACAGCAACAGCCTGCCGATTCTGTCTCTCACTCTTGTGATTCTTCCTCACCATTGCATCCCCCGCTCACCCGCACACGGCAGGAGGACGCGGTTCTGCTGCGCCATGCACTGCATTGCGGCACGAGGCAGTGGGGAGAGTTGGGGAGGAGCGGTCAGCTGAAGAGAAACAACAAGTCGTGCTGTAACCGTTACATCTTCCTCAGAAGGTAACCCTGTTTACCACAATTGTTTTCGGAGTTCAAGTTTCCAAACATGGCCGAGCTTCTTGAATTGCTCTCTTCTTTGGCCATGTGCTGGTGGCGGCAGGAAGTTCGTTCAGCGCTTTCAGGAGAGCCTTCTGAGGGAGCACTTGGGAGGCAGTGCACATCCGCAGCTCATTGCTGCGGAGCGCTACCATCAGTTGCCACGGCACACCCAGCAGCAGCAGCAGCAGCAGCAGCAGCAGCAGCAGCAGCCAGCAGCAGCAGCCAGCAGCAGCAGCAGCAGCAGCAGCAGCAGCAGCAGCAGCAGCAGCAGCAGCAGCAGCAGCAGCAGCAGCAGCAGCAGCAGCAGCAGCAGCAGCAGCAGCAGCAGCAGCAGCAGCAGCAGCAGCAGCAGCAGCAGCAGCAGCAGCAGCAGCAGCAGCAGCAGCAGCAGCAGCAGCAGCAGCAGCAGCAGCAGAGCAGCAGCAGCAGCAGCAGCAGCAGCAGCAGCAGCAGCAGCAGCAGCAGCAGCAGCAGCACAGCAGCAGCAGCAGCAGCAGCAGCAGCAGCAGCAGCAGCAGCAGCAGCAGCAGCAGCAGCAGCAGCAGCAGCAGCAGCAGCAGCAGCAGCAGCAGCAGCAGCAGCAGCAGCAGCAGCAGCAGCAGCAGCAGCAGCAGCAGCAGCAGCAGCAGCAGCAGCAGCAGCAGCAGCAGCAGCAGCAGCAGCAGCAGCAGCAGCAGCCAGCAGAGCAGCAGCAGCAGCAGCAGCAGGTTGGTGTGGGTTCACCCGGGTCCCTGTCGCCTGCTCTTACTTTCGGTGGGCTGTCGTTTGATGAGTGCAGGGGCGTCTTCCTCTCACCCAATGCCCGCCGCCCAACAGCTCAAGCCGACCTCTCGTCTGCTTTCGCGTCTGCCACTGCCTCCCATGGCGCTGCCTCCCATGCCACTGCCTCCCATGCCGCTGCCTCCCATGGCGCTGCCTCCCATGGCGCTGCCTCCCATGGCGCTGCCTCCCATGGCGCTGCCTCCCATGGCGCTGCCTCCCATGCTGCCACCTTCAGTGCCGCCGCACCCAATGCTTCTGCCTTCAGCGTTGCATGCCGCGTGCCACTGTCTTCAATGACCGACGCCCCACAATCCGCCAATGCTGCTGCCGTCTCCAGTCCTGCTGCTGCCTGCGATGCTGCGGCAGTGAATAACGTCATCCGCCCCGGCGCAGCTGCTCTCAGCCTGCCCATGAAGCGACCCAGAGGCGACTGGAGCGGGCCTTTGGAGGTCCCACATCTGTTGGGCCGACCTGTATTCGGGTCTCTGGGCCCTGCGCTGGGGCATGCGGACGCATTGGACACACACTGTGTGCAGCAGGGAGGGGAGAGGAGCGGAGTGCAGCAGGTGGTGTGGCCTCGCGTGGAGTCGGGGAGAGCCCTTCTGCTGGAGGAGCATGGGCAGCTGGAGAGGAGGTGGAGGAGAGTGCAGCGCATGATGTGGCCTGACATGGGTTCAGGAGGAGCAGCGCTGTCAGCGCCACCGCCCATCCAACTCACTGCTCTGGCGGGTTCAGTTTCTGCTGGAATGAACTCCTGTGTTGGAGGGACGCCCCTTGCCAGTGCAAGCAACAGAGGACAGGAGCTGCCCTCGGCAATCGGCTCTTGCAACGTGGGGCAAGAAACGGACTCCTTGTTTATCGACGCGCCCGTCTCTGTCCTGTGCTTGGCTGGGCGTGGCCCCACTGGTGTGCCCTTGGCGAGTGGGCCTCAGCGACGGGCGCTTGCGGCCTCTCTTCCTGAGCCAGGCCTGGCAGCGAGGCTGCTGGAACAAAGGGGGACTGGGGAGGGAGGTGTGGAGGGGGTGGAGGTTGGGGAGGGAGTTTCTCAGCTGCAGTACCAACTGAACAGTCGTGAGCGGTTCAAGCATGCTCACTTTCCTGCACTCTCATTGCCCCGCCCGCTACCACACCCGCTGAGACAGGCTCATATACAGTCCCCCCATTCTCATCAGCTCAAGCCTTGGGGCTTCGCCAACATATCTGGGGCTTTGGGAGAGGAGGGTGCATTTGCAGAGACCTTTCTTGATAATGATGGGGATTTGGATATGCGTAGTTACAACAGCACCTTGAACGGAGCATACGGATTTAATGACACAGTAAATGCTTTTAGCGGAATACCATCTCTGCATGTGCGGCCCCAGATGCACAGTTGCCATTCTGGCCGAGCTCCAGAGGTTGCACAGAATCTTGCTAACGTTTTGCTGCATTGCTCGGCAGGTCAAACATTGAATTGTATTGCTGAATCATATTTATAAACCACGTTCTTTGTTCCGTGCAGGGCTGACGTTTTAAAAAAAATCCCCCTGAGCTGTCGAATGGGATTTTTTTTTACCCTGAGGGCCTTGTGTTGAAATTTTGGCTACCCTGGTTTCTCAGTGTTCTGGAAAATGCAACCCTGAAACCTCCAGGGTTGGCTAGCCACAAACAGGGTTGCATTGCACTTGCAAAAAATCAACTAAGAGAACGTTAGGAGAGGAAAAAGCACCACTACGCCAGTCTACAGATTCAGTTCAGTCCTCTACGTAGACTTCACAAGATTCCACGCCACTAGCTACCCTTGTCTAAAATTCTGGGCCATCCATGTTCACTTCGTCCTCTGCCTCGTCGTTGGACAGAAACGGGTTGTCTTCCACCACAGGAGCCTCTCCCCCCTCTACCCCCTCCTCTCCCTCATCCTCTGCCCAATCCCCCATGTAGGCAGGGAACTTCCTCCTCCACCCTCCGTCCTGCCCCCTCCATCGCCTTGGCCTTACGCTTCCTCTCCGCTGAGGCAAACAGAGCAGACTTAGCAGGGCGCCTCAGCTTCTCGCGCCAACACTCAAGGGCCTCGTCCCAATCAATCTCATACTACAGCAGGGAAATGACCATCAGCTCGCTGAGGCGCGCATTGCACAACGCGCCCCGCACCCATGACTTGATGACGTTCTGCCGTGAGAAGCCTTGTTCACACTCCACTGTGCTAAGCGGCAGGATAGTGCACTCTTTCCACAAGCGCATCAGGTTGGGCCATCGCCTGCCAAAAGGGTTGGGGGAACAGAGTGCAGAGAACAAGACCAGTGCATTCGTGCAACTAGTCAACAAGCGATAAACAACATCTGGTTGTGCGCCTGTTACTCGTCAGAGTTCCAAGGGGAAGATTAGAAGCGGCCCAAAGACATGCAACAAAGGTCCTTCGAACAACAGTCACTCACAAGTTCGACTCCGTCGAGCCCAGGTAGTTCGTCAGGCCTTGATGGAATCCCTCGTCGGCATGGTGGCTCAGCATCAGTGGCGCCCACGTAACCAGCTCCTTTTGCGCAGCTTGCAAGGAAAAGCCTGGTAGCCTGTTGTCGAAATAGGTACTGCATCCATATAGGTACTCCTTCAGCTTCTTCTCTCTCTGCTGCTTCATCCGGGGCCTCTTCGACACGCGGAAGAGCTTCGTCGGGGCGAGATTGTTCATGTCCAGCATCCTCGTCTTCAGGAAGGTCATCGTGTCCTTCGCGAACTGCGCGCAGAGCCACTCGCAGTCGGGGTACTTGCTGCGGAAGGCATGCCCGTCAATCTGCTTCTCGTGCATGGTGTAGGTGTGCGTGACTGGGTTGCCGTCCTTGTCGATGCTCCGCACCTTTACGCACTTGCTCCCTCCGTGCCCGTAGACGGCCAAGAAAACCGAAAGCCACATGCCTTTGACCCCCCCACCGAACACCTCTCCGCACTCCAGGTAGCGGTGGCGAAGGTCCCCTGTCGCCTCGTCGATATCCTTCGTCACTTCGGTGACATCGACCTGGTGGAAGTGACAGACAAGGGAGGGGAGTCAGAGGGTTATTCCAAACGTGCATGCATGGGAAAAAAACTATAACATGCAGAGGGGTAGAAGCTCACCTCCCTCTTCTGGAATTTGAGGTTGAGCTCATTCATCACTCCGAGCACGTCCGCCAGGAAAAAAAGACAGAACTGGAACTTGTAACAGATGACGACTTCATACAGCTCATGCCCGTACTCATGAAACAGAATAATAGCGGCGCCAAGGACCTTACAGAGGCGCCGCACAGCCTCACCCCTTGAAAGCCAGCGCACGGTGTGAATTCCTTGCACTTCAAGGTTGGTGTTGCATATTGCCCGCTGCAGGTACTTGAAGCATTGACTCCAGACACATGAACGTCCCAGAAGATCGGCCAAAGTCTGAATCACAAGGTCGACCATGCCGAATTCTGGAGAAGCAGTGGCGGCATCCTTCACCGCCAGGGCTTCCCTGCATGGTGCACACACATGAATTTTAGTCAAGCAGCTGTAGGAAACCTAAGCGACAGAAATGACAAGCGGTTAACCTGTGCGCGATGCAGTGCGAAGAGACGAGATAGGGGATGTGCTCGCGAAGTGGGGCGACGAGACCATTGTCTCGGCCGACCATGACAGAGGCGCCGTCGGTGCTCATGCCGGTGATTCGGGAGAGGTCGATGCTTGTTGCTCGCAAGTGCGCCAGAAGAACGGCGAGGAGAGACGCGACGTCACACTTTTCGATGGTCAAGAGAGCAAAAAACTCGGCGACAACACGATGCGCACACATGAAGGTAAGGTAAACAATGAGATGTTTACCGCGAGTACGGTCAGTGCTCTCGTCGCAGCTGATGCCAAGGTAGGGTGAGGCGAGAATGTGTTGCATTTGTCGGCGCTGCAGGTAGGATGCCAAGTTGTTGACGAGCTGACAAAAGCCATACCTGTAGTAGTAGAAGTAGCAACAGGGAGGTTGTTAGACCTATTAAATGAATAAAGGATATGGTCTTTTTGGAATCAGTGCATTACCGTGTCAGGTAGACTCCGTAAGACTGCAACGGAATGTATGGGGTCTCCTGCTCGGCCATGAAGCGGAGTAGCCGCGGGTACATGCTGATGGGTGCATCACACTTGCAGAGGAAGTCGACGCAACGTAGGAGCCTTATGACGCGCCTCCCCTCGATGTCAGTCCGCGCGTAATTCTCCATGCGCCTCTGGGTGCTGGCGATATCTTTGGCGATCTCCATCTGACGCTTGACTGCTGCTTCGTGGGCTGTCGTGTGTTCGTGGAACCGCATCGCTTGCGTCTGCGGGTCACGTGCCCCATCGCGGCTGTTGGAGTACGGTGTTGTCTCTTTGCCGAAAGCCTTGCACTTTTGTTTTCATTAACAGAAGCTAAGGGAAAAATGGAAGCCAGCTGGTTATACTTGTGCTCAGCCATGAGATACTTCTGCTCGATGAGTTCTTTCTTCGAGAGGTTCGGCGGCTCAGATTCAGGAATAGTAGGGGCCTTAGGTTCAAGCGACGTGCGAGGCGGCGACGGTCGACGTAGCTTCCCGCCGAGGACTATCGTGCTCTGGGTGTACTTCCCGATGCGTGCTTTTTTTCTTGGATGAAATCGTGGAAGCACACTCGACCGTGTAACACAAGGTCGTGGCTGTCTCGCAGTCTGGAACCCAAGGGCCCCGGCTAGATGAAGCGACAGCGGGCGGAGGTAGATAGGGAGCGGGAGTAGATACGGGTTGTGACGGTATTGCGACTGCGGTGGGAGACCGCAAGACATCTAGAGCGGATCTACGGACCTCCACGGGGGGGTCCCTACCTGGTCCAGAGCCATCATCGTCGGCGGGAGACTCACCAGCCTCTCCTACATCCGCCATAGCTAGTAGCGGCGGAGTTGATCGAAACGAGAACTAGGCACGACGAAAGTGGACAAGAAAGAAGAATGGAGCATCTCACATCTGCACTGTGAAGAAAAGGAGGAAATTGGGTTGGAGGAGAGGCTGGTGAAGAAGATGGGAAGGGGACCAAGAAACCCCAGATTTCACTTGTCATGGACGGTGCACAACCCATCCAAGATCCTGCATCGCCATGGCGATACCGTCGATGGCAGGACGCACCTGCGCTGGCATCGTATGCATCGAGATGACTAGCGGGGTGATATCATACAGAGGCTGCCATTACAGCGCTCAGCATTTTCCCGCATGTGCCATTATCAAAGCATCGATTTCTGTCCTTGTCTGCTGCGTGCTGAGTCACGAATGCCAGGCTGGGGCATGACAGAGTGCACCATCCCATACTTAACGGTTGGAAATGTTGTTGAAATGGCAACATACAGCGTGTACAGGGCGGGAAAGTTGCCAAGTGCAGATTCTCCACGTGACGTCTGCTGGTCGTATTCATGGGCCTGGGACCCGTCACGCGTAAAGATGTCATTTCGCCGAAACTCATGGTCCGCATGGATGTCGTATTCAAGGTTCGTACGCGTTACTCCCTGAAAACTCAGTTTTGGGATAACGCAAACCCTGAAATCCCAAGTGTTCACAAACATACAACCCTGAAGAGGGTAGGGTTAAAAAACGCCCAACCATGAAAATTAAGGGTTGGAAAAAAAAAACCCACTGAAATCAGAGAATCAGGGTAAAATACCCTGATAACGACAAGCCTGGTTCCGTGATGATCACTCCCATAACTGTAGAATGCTGGATGTGGGCGTGAATCTAGTCCCTATCACAACTGTGAATATTGCTAGTTTTTTCTATCAACCCCATGAATTTGCAGCTTCACTGGTGCGTACGCTCCCCCCCATGAGATTCCATCGCAATATGTCTTCACCCAAAGTTCTTGTACCCACCTTGACTTGAGTTTTGAACTTAGAGCGTGTTCCTACGAGCCTCTTCCCAGGCAGCCTCTTCCCAGACTCACGCGCGACCTTGAGAGCGTGTTCTCAGGATCACTTTTCGGAATACTCCCGTTTCATATTTGCGTTCCACCGCTCTCAACCACATAAAACCACCTGGGGCTGAAAATTTACGGTGCAGATTCGCGCTAGTATGAAAATCTGCTCGTCTGAAAAGAGGTTTTGAAACACGCCCCTGAATCTCGGGAATGCGAATCTCACTTCGCACTTCGCGGAATTGCACTGAAACATTTCGCGTAAAAAATTGCGGCACTGTAGCACGCGAGTCTGGGAAGAGGTTGCTTGGGAAGAGGCTGGTAGGAACACGAACTTAGTAGTGACTTGTAATAAGATGCCTTAGAGATGCGTAGTTACAACAACACCTTGAACGGACCATATGGATTTAATGACACAGCAAATGCTTTTAGCGGAATACCTGTCAAACACATCTTAGTATGTTCTTATAGACTATATAGGCCCCGTCGCCTCGCCGGCCTCGTAGCCCAGCCGGCCCTGCCTCCTAGCCGGCCCCGCCCCCTAGCCGACCCCGTCGCCTCGTCGGCCCCGTCGCCTGGCCGGGCCCGTCGCCCGACCGGCCCCGTCCCCTAGCTGGCCCCGTTGTCT